CCCTTTGTGCCTGAAGGATCATTTCCTTAAGGCACAGCCACCCTTCCTGGGCTCCCATCACTTCAAAACTCCTACTCTGCAGTGCGTCCTTGACTAATCGCCTGAGTTCATTGAAATCAGCTTTCCTAAAGTCTAGCACTTTCACCCTACCAGTTACCTTACCCACTCGACGTCTTATGATGAATTCTATTCACCAAAGCAATAAACTCTGGCGCATATCACGCTGGAGTTCATTGCTCCTGGGCACCATTGTTACACATGTGTCTGGGACCACAGCATGTTGAGCTGGGCTGGAGCAGCCCTGGCTGGCAGGGGACCCTGGGGGTCAGCCTCCCTGCCCCCCTGGCTCAACATCTTACAAATGGGCTGGCTGGGGTGCAGGCAGGCCCTGCACTGAAGCACCCTTGTGCCCCCACCAGCCCTGTCAGCATCTACACATGGTGATGTGCTGTGCACCAAAGAAAGCTGCCGCGGGATAGTACTTGTATTTACATGTACTAACCTATGGCGGCATGTCTTAGTTTACTGCAGCATAATCGGCCCACATGTGCGCGCACTTTTTTTGTTTTATAATATATTTCATGTTCCAGGTCAAGTTAGCCAAATCAGCTCCCAATCATATCAATTGAGCAGCACTCAGTCGCTCCAAAAACCATATTGATTGAGCAAGCACAACTCAATCATTCCCAACACTATGTACGGTGCTACAACCGGCGGGCATCCTCCATCCCAGACCCATCACCCTGGGATTTCAGATACTCCCAAATCCATTGGCAGGTGTCCTATGTGCAAGCCCAACCCTGGAGGTCTTGGGGTTCGGATGTCCCCAGATACTAGACAAGCATCCTCCATCCCAGGACTTCAGATACTCCCTACACTCGATCCTAGCCCACAAGAGGCTGAGATTCCTCGAAGAAAGCTCCAACCGCACGTGTAGATATGAGATGTTGACTGCAGAGCTAGTTAGGCAGCTCGTGTAGACGCGCCCGCTGAAATCAAAATTCAGGTCAGCCTGGTTCCTGCGAGCGAGGGGTGAGGGTGCCCAGCCTGAGCCCTGCGGCCGGTGCACGGACAGCCTCAGTGGCCCTATATGCAGGCACAGCCTGGACAGGCAGCTCTTACTCTCCCGGCTTGTACTTACTCCCACGAGTTGCCCCATTCTGGATTTGCAGGTCCTGGTGCAAGTGCTGTGTTGCAGCCTTTCATGACCGCAGTCACAAAGAACGGGAGCGATGATTTCCCTCTGCTCCCTCGCTTCGTGGCACCAGCCTGGCACACGGGGAAGTCTGGAAGGCCTCGGCATCCAACATTTACCAGGCAGAGTCATACAGTATATTAAATGCATCTTTTATGAGTTGGGAATGACTCTTTTCATAAGCTGAGAGCATGTGACAGCCTTCGGTAAGGCCGCCAAGTAGGGGGCAGGGGAAATTTTGTGTTGAAAGGTGCTTTAAAAGCATATGCAGTGTTTAGGACTGCCTCGCTTGGACACGAGGCTTTCCCCCTCTGCAGATGGGAGTTGTCAGCACGCAGCACGCCGACCACTTCCCAAGGAAAGGGCTCCAATCATTTCCAATTGCTTCAACACCGCACATGCCCTGAAACCCCGAACTGCTTCCAAATTCAAGGCTTATAAAAATTTAAATGCTCCAATAATTTTAAATTGTGTCTGCTCAGCCTTGCTGGAGCCTGGCCAGTCCTTCAGCTCTTCTTTTTTTTTTTGGCAGGGGGGGGGATGTCTTTTTCTTAGCGCTTCATTTTGGAAGCAAGTCAAATAGCATCATAGCAGAGCGATTCGGCAGTAGCTGAGCTGATTTGCAGGGGATCATAAAACAGGATTAGGAAAGCAACAAGAAAGCCTGGAGGAGAAAGGACCAGCTGAGTCATGGCATGCAGAGAATAATACAAAAAGGAGCAAAGGGAATAATCCTCCACCGACATCTTTATTAGCGCTTCATTTTGGAAGCAAGTCAAATAGCATCATAGCAGAGCGATTCGGCAGTAGCTGAGCTGATTTGCAGGGGATCATAAAACAGGATTAGGAAAGCAACAAGAAAGCCTGGAGGAGAAAGGACCAGCTGAGTCATGGCATGCAGAGAATAATACAAAAAGGAGCAAAGGGAATAATCCTCCACCGACATCTGAAGAATGGGGCTGGGTGACCTAATAGACCGTTTTCAATGCCCTTTGCTCCCCTTTGGGACATGGGGTTGAACATGGCATCTGTTTAACAGCGTCTAGAAACATATACTGAGCCGGTGTTGCAGCTGCATGACTGTTTGGGACAGGAAGTGAAGGGACAGATGGGAACATATCACATGGGACTGAAATGGAAATGGGACTTGCATGCAATTAAACTAAGCTGGAATTAGGTCCTCTCTTAGGAGAGTGCCACGGGGTGGTTGAGACCCTATTCAGGACAGCCTCTGTATTTCAGACAGCACCTACAGCTGTACCCATGTCCCACAGACCTCAGGGTAAGCACGTGCTCTTCTGGGCAGGAATGGGATTAAATGCTGATTTTTTTTTCCCACCTCATTTGAATAGACCAGAGAAAAATCTGTCTCAAAGCTCGTACGTGAGACTTCACCAGCACCCAGGAAATATGCTAATCAAATACTGTAAGCTGTGCTAGGCTTAGACCCAGCAATAAAGCACCCGGGCCCCCTAGACAAGGCCGATGAGATAGGGACCCTGCCTAGGCATCCCGTGATACCAGTAATGAAGTCTCACAGTTCTGCCTCAATAGCTCCATCCAGAGTCTTGTACAGAGGCAGAAGAATTAAAAACACAGCTTTGGAGAAGTTGAAAGGAAATCTAAGCGAGTTAAAAATAATCACTTTTGCTGCGTCCTACTTCGCTAGACTGAAATCTGAAGAGGACAACAAAGTGCATCCCTGTTTAGCCCGCCGCGGGATGTCGGCAGCTTTACAGGGACTGCTGCGACATGCAATGCAGGGAGGACAGCCACAGCATAAGAGGACGTGCTTCAAAGCAGCCCATCCAATCTTGCCACAGAATATATATATGTAACACAGTGGTTCTCAACCTTTATATATATATATAACACCGTGGTTCTCAACCTTTTTTAGGCACCCCTTCCTGGACTCAAGGCACCCATCATTGGACTCAAGGGACCCCTCAGAAAATGCGAGCTCTCAGCTTGCACTCATTTTTTGGCCAGGGAAAAATAACAGATCAGTGTTTCTGTTGCAAAGAGCTCAGAAAGATCACAAGAGGGCAGAACGCTTTTGACACTCTGGGATTTCTGTTGGAAATCTCTGGGTTTATCCTGAATTGTGTTTTGCGTTGGTGTACCGAGCAGAGCTAGTATTGCATGGCACCCCGCAGCACTCTTAAAAGGATCTCATAGCACCCCGGGGCGCTGCGGCATCCTGGTTGATGCACCAGTACATAAAATACCCGGTAAACTCTTTACCTTTTCCTAAGGTGCCTGGTGAAAGGACTAGTGTGCTTTTACGGACTAAAAAGCATAAACCGATGCTTTAATTGCAGTGAATCAAACCAGTCTGCCTGGCTGCAAAGCCCCAGTGCAACACCATACACCAAATAATCGAGCCAGAGAGAGAGCAGCACACGCATTTTGCTCAGTGACGTCCGGGGCCACATCGGACCCTGCCACCTTGATTGCATATGGCTCTGGAGGCAGAAATCATAAATCAAGACTGTCCCGCAGCTGTAAGATGGGGGTGAGGGGCCCAGATGGAAAGTCACGTGCTGGGATCTTCCGTGATCGTCTGTCCCATGTCCAGCCCTCGCTGACAAAATGGAAATCTCTTTCCACCAGACGGTGCATCCATAAATGCCTTTTCTTTTCCAGACTCTTGTAAAGCCAGCTGTGCTGTCTCAGCGCACCTGGCGCACACACTGCTCCCTCCCCACCGCTGCTAGGTATGTATTTAAAACCAAGTCACAGCGAATCTTTCTCTCATTAAAAAGGGCGGGCAGCTTTAAAATGAAACCGTGTTTATTTATAAGCGCCTTGAACACCAGAGAAGTTTTCTTGGGGACTTTTACACAGGGGTTTGGACCCTTTTTTTTTTAAGGAGAAAAGGAGGTATTTTGTCCGATGGAGAAGGTGGCTCCGTTTCAGGTGAGAAAGGCTGCCACACACATGGAAACCTCACCGGTCATTCTTCAGTCTCCCTTTCAACGTGTTCAGTTCATGGAAAAACCATCCCGCCCCGCTCCGACAGTTTATAGCTTTGCTTTCTTGGGAACAAGGTTAATCATGTTACTTGGCATCTCCATCTCTCCCTTCTCTTCTTTTTCTTTCAGGTCTTCAGGATCCACGCTGATGTAGAAATAGCCCATGATGGAGAAGAGGATGCACACGGCAAAGAGGAGGCCCGCAAACAGGACAAACTCAGCCCACTGGAGAAGAAGTGCAAACGCAGCTCTGAGCACCCGTTCCCAAGGGAGGCAGGCACCTGCTTCCTTTCAGAGGGCTCTTTGCATGCCGGGCCTTCATTGCCAGGAGAGCTCACAGGAGGCAAGCCTCTTTATTGAGGTTTCTGGGACCTCTCTTATATGAAATTCGGTCATTATAAGCATATAGCTAAAGCTAATCGGTGTGAGCAGATGAGCTAAAGCATGGTTCATCCTCCAGATCCCTCCCAAACGGGCAAATCTGCCTTAAACTTCTCCAGCAAGCGGGAATGCATGACATTAACCATTTAGGGGACAGGCAATGCTTAAAAAATCCCCACTGTTAAAACTTAGTGTTACCTTTTCACTAGAAATCAGAGCCTCTCCCAATTCAGACCGTCTGGGTGAAACTAATCTCCAAATCTAAGCATCCCAGTCCCAAACCTGGCAATGGGAGCAAGTGGTCTTTCAGGAATCCAGGGGCCTTTGCCTCACCGGTAAGCTCCCTGCTGGGCCGTGTGCCAGGCTTGTTGCAGATTGCAGTACAACCTGCTGCCATACAGGGTGCCCACTGGGTTAATGGTGCCCACTGGGTTAACAATGCACATTGGGTTAACGATGCCCATTGGGTTAATGATGCCCATTGGGTTAACAATGCTCATTGGGTTAACGATGCCCATTGGGTTAACGATGCTCATTGGGTTAACAATGCTCATTGGGTTAATGATGCTCGTTGGGTTAACGATGCACCAGCTCCAGCCCTTGGCATGTTGGGCTTATAGTCAGGGCATTTTTAACTATTTTAAGTGCCCCGATGACAGAGCGCCAGGCGGAGGACACTCCCAATGCAGCGCCCCCATGTCCAGCCCCGTTACAGCCATACCTGCTCCAGCGGTGCCGCCTGGGCCACAATAAGCACGATGACATTTCCAAAGGCCACGGTTAGCAGCCAGCCTGCCTGGAGCACGGACTTCATGCTGACAGGAGCCTGAAAACAACACAAGGACCTGCTTAATGGCTTGGGCTCCGCACCTTTGTTTCAGCATTTGGCTGCTCTTTCTCCTGGTATTTCATGCCAGGCCGTACGGATGCGGAGGGCTCTATGGTGCAGGGGATGGACCAAAGTGGAGGGAATGTGCTGCCAAGTGGACACCAATGGACTCACAGAGCCTTGCGACTGCATATAGTGTCACAGATAATTTAGCGTCTTAATTTTAAACTAGGCGTTTACCGGAGCTGGTGCCAAAGGCCAAATTACAAGTCAGTAGCAGAGATGGGAAAATTGTCCAGAAGTCCTGATTCTTAAGGGGATTTTTTCTCTCCTTTTTTAGCAACCATCGATGAGTCCCAAAAGTACAATACCTGAGAATAAGAGAATGCCAGGCCTGTAATGGAGAACATCACTTCTCCAGCTGATATCAATAGGTACTGCGGCAGCTGCCAAGCCAGATGGATATGATTGGCTTTGATATCTTCTGACTTCCATGCGTTGAGAGTGTTTCCAGATGCCTAGGAGAGACAGCACAGGGGGCACACGGATGAGCTGCTGAAGCAGAAGATCTATCCTGCATGGGCTTGCACACAGAATTTACCAAAAGTGAGTTTTCGTATAAAGGTGGAAGAAAAAAAATCTGCTTTTTGATTTACCAGCTGGATCTGAATCCTACCAACTTCCTGCACCATCAACAGTTCAGGGCAGGGGACAAGAGCGAGGCACTGGAACCACAGCCCGCCAGACAGACCTGCTCTTGTCCTACACCTGCATCAGATGCCCTCGTATGGTTTACGGTAAATTTATTTCTAACTCTCTAACTTTGCTTCCTTCGATTTAATTAACATCTGCCCTATTACAGAGAGAAAGAGAGACGGAGAGGTTTGACTAGTAGCCAAGAACACACTAACCTGCAATAACTTAAAGTCAACCTAGAGGAAACAGCAAATTCTGCTTTTAAGAAGGATGCTGAGGAAGGCATGGGGGATGTTTACGAGCAATGCTTAATCACCATAAAGGGAGACAAATCAAGAAGGCATATTTCTGAAGGCTCAAAGGAGGGAAAGAAACCTCTGTGTCTTGCTCGTTAGGCCATAAAAAAATGTCAGCGATGCCTTAAAAATAGCTGGATGGGGATGGAAGCTGCATGAAAACACTGTCCCTAATGATTTACTTATTAGAGTCCAGGCACATTCCCACACTACCTACTGCATTTAGGTCATTTATACAGCACTTCAGACAGGAGGCGGGGATGCCATACAAATCCCAGGAATGAGTACAACTGAGCGGAGCCCAGCAAGAAACATCAAAGCCCATCACCAGAAGGAGAGAGATGTGAAAAGGAAGAGCCAGGAGGGTCAAAGACAAGTTGGGATAGGCAGGAAAGCCTTATATGGAGCCTTAGGAGACAAGTACCATGAGATGAAAGGGGCAGCTGACTCTGGACACATGAACAAATGATACCCAGGGAAAAGGGGACAGACTGAAATGGGGTGAAATCACCCCGATTTTGCTTCCAAGAGCGGACACACAGAACTGGTACTGTGCAAGCTTCATTCAGGCTCAACTTGCAGGAACAACTGTGTCAAGGACTCCCGGGGTTGTCTCAATGGGTTAAAATCAAGACTGGCCACCTCCCCGGTTGCCTGCGGCTTCCCTGAAGGCCTGCCTGCCCAAAAAGAGAAGCAGGGGCAAGGTTGTGATTTTTATTTAACTTCTGGAGGTTGGTGGCCAGGTTTGTGTAACATTGGCTGGGCAGATGGGATGAGTAGGATAGCCAACACCCCCCGACCAAAAGAGCCTCCTGGATTTTCACTGCCCAAACTGGGGAAAAAAAAAACTCTGCAAAAAAAAAAGAGAAAGAAAGAAAGAAAGAAAACCCTGAACACACATTTCAACGACAAAGGGGGCTAATTTAAGGACATTTGCACTCCCCGAAATAACAGGGCAGATCCTCAGCTGGCATAAACCGGTGTAGCTCTGCCGAAGTCGATAGAGCCGCATCATTTTATGCAGGCTGAGGATGTGGCCCAGGATACTGGAATGACTCTACAGGCATTTAGGACTCTGCAGCTGGTGCATCTTAGCCAGCCTTCGGGCAGGGGGCAGGACTGGATGATCTTCCGAGGTCCTTTCCAGCCCTGACGTCTATGAAATCTATAGCTTAGTCTTTAAGGTGCTTGCCTGCCTTGCCTTCTGCCTAACCTGGCTAGCACCCTCGGTGAAGCTGAGGGTCTGACCTTGAACTGCTGCCAGGCATAGTGGCCATAGGATTCAAATGGGCTTACCTCCAAAACACAGACCCCAGACACTTAAAATACAGGAGCATCTCCATTAACCGTGAGGGTTCATGATAGAAAACTGAACGGTTATGTTCCCTCCAACAGAGGGGCGGCACCACCCGCACTCGTGACCCAGCCCATTATGACGTGCTGATTTACTCTATAAAACCACTTTACCTAATACCTCATTTATGATCAAATGAATTGCCCAGATAAGGAAAAAAAAAATCATCCTTTAGCAGAAAATAAATAAGCCAGGTGAGAGAGAGCCTCTGATTTGTAGCAGCACAGCGAGGTTGTTAAGGTAACCAAAACTGGAAAAATTATCTAAGCAAAAAGATACCATGCAAATGATGCTGTTATTTATTGTGACAAAATGCAGATAGAAAACACTTGGGAAAGCAAAGATTATGGCATCATTTTGGAAGGAGAAACAGACTTAAGGGGATATGCTTGCATGCCCCCCGGGAGCACTTTTGCACAGCATACATAATTCCCCGAACTTAGAGATGACAGGACAGGCCCGTTTCCTTGAGGGTTGTACACCCCACCTCAGCAATGACCGGGAGCTTCGCAGCTATAATTGTTTTCTTTGGAGAACTGGGTTTGGAGGCATGGCCAGATCTTAGTAGTTGCCCATCAGGGACACTTTATTACCAGCGAGCAGCTAATAGCATTTTGCCCTGCTAATCACAGCACGGCAGTCAGAGACCCAAAGGGCAGCTAAGCACAGTGTCCTGTCAGACTCGGTTTGTCTGCACGGCTGTGCTTTGGAAAAGCCGAAGTGGTAAATGGTCTGATCGCATCTAGGTGCTTGGCCCTTGTCAGCTAGAGAAGCATTGCAAATCTGAGTGGCAACCTAGGCTGGCTGGACCAATAGCAGCCCGTCAAAGGGGGCTGCCTGGCTCCGATGCTGTTAACACCCCTGAAAAGGGGGAGGAAATGTCATGAAAACTTCCCTTTCTGTTTCTGGAAATCCTCCAAAGATAGATGCTGTTCCTTAGCTGGAATTCAAAATTATTATGTACTCCCTAGCTGAGAAATGGCAAGACAGACACCGACTTTCAAGCCTCTCTCGTGGCTTTTCTCCCACCCCCTCTAAAATCCCCAAGGCCCGTCATGTCAGCTCCAGGCAGGGGAAGTTGGAGGGCGAGGTGGAACATGTCTGGAAAGTAATGAAGGTAAGAGGGCTCTTGTGGAGTCTTTTAGTGATTATATATCGATGTTATGCCCTATCTGGCAGGGGCATTTCCAGCAGCACAGCACCCCCTTAGTGCCAAGGATGAGCCGGCATTAACTCGGAAAGAACAACGCTGCCGAGCAAAACTGCCAAAACCAATCCATGGATCCCGTATTTCCCTTGGAGGATTCCCACTCGAGCTACAAGACCAGACCTTACCTCTGGTTTAACCTGTGAAACAAGATCACAGCGTAAGGTGGAATGGCTGCAGGCTACATTCACACGCTCGGTACCCAAATTTGCCTCCCATAAGTGACTCTTTTTCAATGGCTATGCTCAAGCTCCTGCCACGGTAAAGGCAAAGTCAGCAGATGCCGGCGGAAAGGCAAGACGTCGGACAGAGAGGAGGGGAGCGCAGAGCGGAAACGATGCGTTAAAGCCGAAGGGGGACTCACGTTGATTATCACAACGGTGTATGATGCTCCAAAGTCAAGTAGCCCTAGGTCCAGGCTGAATTCCCCTGTTTCGGTTCGGCATTTTCTCGTATTGTAGCTTGATACAAGAATGAAGTAAAGTATTTCCAGGTTAGTCTCATAGACAAAGAGCTTAGTTATTAAAAATACTCCCAAAAATGGACCAGGGGAATGACTAGCCCACATCTGCAGCCGTGTGCATGCCCGTCAGTTTTTGCTCTTTGGTTTCCCTTCTTTGTACCAAACACAATTCATCTCATGGGACATCTCATCGCTGACACGGGCAGCAATGGTTCCCGATTCCACCTGGGACTGAACCCCTTTTTTCAATGTCTCCTTCCACTTTAAGCCCCACATTTCAGGGTTTTTGCACCAGGCAATTGAGCGAAGTGCCCATATTCTTCAACTTCACAAAAATGAACTATGTGCAATTGCTGTTGAGCAATTTGCTTTCAAAAGAGCATGACTTGCCTTCAGATTTACTCTCCTAGCCCTGGACAGGCACAGTTTCTATTGAGATGCCAGCTGACTTGGTAGAGATTATACCACAAGGGTTGTCAACTCCCACAATAAAGCTCTTAATGGAGTTGCTACAGAGGAAGAGGGAAAGTTGTGCCACTTGTTTTAGACCTAATAGATGCCAGAAAGGCGGATACCCTAAAAATACCATAGTAGGGCCAGCTCTAGCAATGCTACCAAACCACGTGGAGCCCCAGCCTAGACGAGCTATTAAAATGCTAGTGCAATGTGATCCAACATATTTTCCAGCGCTGCATAGTGTGGGAAACAAATAGCCCAAGTGCCAAGGTCTTTCTGACCACGACCGCCAGAGCCCCATGTAAAAGATAAGTTCCTGGACTAAACTGTGATGTTTTTACTCAGATAATGGCTATAAGGAATTTAGTATCCACCCCCTTCATTTGATCCTATTTAATCCACCTATGTATCCCAAGTGGTAGCAGCCCTGGGCAAAGAGGTGGACTTGGCACTGAGTGGATGCTACATTAATTCAGCTATACAACTCACATAGGCCTATCGATCCGCTGTCTTTTTGCTGGCGCGCCTTGCAGTCTAGCAACATTGCTTCTTTGCAATTAGGTACAAATGGGACGATGCATATACAGACTACTCTCCCTCTGGCTGACATTTCAGCTCCTGTCACACAATGAGCCAACTCCAAGAGCGTGCCAGAGGACCCTTGCATGTGTCCAAGAGAAGCCCTACGAGGGAAACCAGGATGCAGGTATGAAGTTAAGTGCTTACTTTCCCCTCTCTAACGTCGTGTAACCTGAAACGCCGTAACTTTTATTAACGCTGATGTCCTCCTGGCCGCCCAAGGTGATGTTGACATTTTGCTCCCATGCATTAATGAATCTGTGAGGAAAGTATATTTCATCATGGTGTCAAGAGAAATACAATAGTAGACACTTCACATGAGCTGCTCAAGCGCTCCTAATGCGCTCCGTACCTTTTAATTTTTATGGCACTCTCCCTTGCCAGCTACCAACACTTAAGTCTGGGTCGCTGCCCATCTCTTGATTCAAGGATAATCATTTCCCATCCCCGTATAAGTTAACCCTGGATTTCCCCACTTAGGTGACTAGCGCTGCAACTTATGAGCCTGGCGGTAGGGCTCTTCTGGGACACCTTCATAAGCTTAATTGGCCATGACGAAGGGCTTCATCTATCCCAAGGAAACTAGGTCTTGTCTACATTACATAGATGAGTGTCACAGTGAATCCACCATCAGTCATGCCAGCTTGGGATGCGCTGTTTACGTACTCACTTGATGCCAGCAAACTTTTAAGCATTATAAAAATTTGGATTTTTTTTTAATTAAAATGTATTTTTCTAATAAAAGATGTTGTTTCCATTAAAATGGAAAGTTCCCCCAGAAATGTCTCTTGGTTATACTGTGTTTTTCACTAGAAAAAAAAAAAGCCAACAAGAAAAGTTTTTTTGCCTTTCAACTCAAAAATGTTACATGGTCAAGTAAAGAATTTTAGAAAAAAAGTCAAATATTTTAGAAAAAAACAACAAGAAAAGTTTTTTTGCCTTTCAACTCAAAAATGTTATATGGTCAAGTAAAGAATTTTAGTAAAAAGTCAAATATTTTTGCCTGATAAAGATTTTTTTTTTTTGGTTTCCAGCTGCCAAAAACCGACTTAAAAAAAATGTCAGTTGTTACCCCTTCCCAAAATCATTTTTTTAATGAAAGGCCCTCCAAAATATTTAACAAAAAAAGTTTTTGTCAAATTTTTTTACAGGAAAATAAAGCATTTCCCAACTAACCCAGCTGTCCTTCAGCTTTACCTGCGACTGAGTTAGGGTGTTACGTCTTGTGGTTGCATCAGGGTTCATTGTGGACTTTTGCTACGAGGCTCACCAATGGATTTGTACAGGCTGGTTTGGATAGGGATGATCCCGCCTTAGGCAGGGGGTTGGACTAGATCAGTGTTTCTCAACCTGTGAGTCGTGACCCAAAAGTGGGTCGCAAGAATATATGAAAGGGTGGCAAACAAACTTTGAACATGGATTCTCCTTTAAAGGAGAAAAATTTGGGAAACCGTGGCTTTCTCCTTGCAGGCTGGCAGAGATCCAGCCTGCGAGGGTCTGCTTGGGCTCCCCGTGCCCCACACGCACCCACGCCCTGCCCCACGCACTAGAGCACTTAGACCTGGGGCAAGGGGCAGCGGGTCAGGGGCGAGAGGCGCTGGGTCGGGACTGGCCATCCATGTTTTCAAATGGGTCCTGATACCCACTGGACTAGATGACCTCCGGAGGTCCCTTCCAGCCCAACGTTTCTGTGATTAAATAGGTCTCCTCCATGATATTCAATCACTACTGACCCTCGCTAGTACGACGTCTGCAAAAGTACTAGTAGATACGGCTGACCCACAATGCAACAACATAATGGGTGAGTGGAAAAGGCATCAGATGCTTGGCCATTAATGCCACGGTTCTTCAGCAGACAGGTTCTTCATCATACTTGGCGTGCACCTGGCACCTGCACCAAAGCTCATTGCTTTATGGTACCCAAACTTTGTTTAGAAATGTTCACGTCATCCAAAATCAAATTCATGTTAATAAAAACAGCAGCTATAATCCTTAATGGGTATTTAGGAGATCTCCTTCTTACACGTCTCTAAGCGATGCCTACTGACAAAAAGGAGAGGCTTTGCTTTTCACTGTAATTGTTAGATAAAGCAGCTCTTGGAACGGGTGCGGGACCTGCCCTGCCTCTGGACTGAGGAAGCCAGAGGAGGTTTGTTCCCATGGCAGGAAGATAATCCTTTCCCTTACAAACGCAGCACATCTCATGTGGGATCCACTGCTAGAAAACAGACTGACAGTTAAAGGTGGCCTGCCAGCAAAGCCCTTGGGCCCAATGTTGGAGAACCTCGGACACGAGCGTTGCACCTAGCTCCTCAAAATGCCACGGCTTTCAGGGTGTTGGCACAGCTGCAGGGAGCATCAGCAACGGCTGGCACACTTGGTGTGAAGAGGATCCAAGCTCTGGGGCCTCGTTCAGTAGTGCAGTGTGAGCTTCACCCCATGCACACAAATGTAGGCAGCCTTTGCCACCTCTGCGGTGCTTCTGTGACTGCCCGGGCCCAGGAGCAGGGCAGGGAGCAGGAGTATTGAGGAGGGAGTGGTGGGGCAGGAGGTGTAATTAGAGCAGTCCTGCACGTCTCAGATTGCTCACTGAGGTAGAGGTGCAAGTTAGGTCAGTCCTGGGCCAGGGTGCAAAATTGGAGGGTGCAAAATCGATGCCTCTGAGCTGGCATCAGCAACAGACATAGGGCTGAATCTGTCCCCTGTGGGCCTGCTTCTCCACTGCGCTGAGCTTTGGGTAATCATTTATATCCCAGCAACAAAGGAAATAATTCAGTAGCTGCTCAGACCATTTTGCACACTGAATACAGAGCAGGGAGTGCAAATGACAGCTGCGGGTTGGGCAACAATCTGCAGACAACAGCCCCAGTGAGTGCTTCCCCAGACGGCTCCTTTCCTTTCTCTCTCATCATGACGTGGTAAAGGGATATAGCATCGCTCCTGGGCTGCTCAGCCCCTAACTGCTGATAATGGCTCCTGAAGCTGCCTTTATCCCAGGAATACTGATGCAATTCAGACTCCGGTGACATCTCTGTGCCACGAGCTACAACCCTGGGAGCTACAACCCTGGGAAACAGCACCCGGAAAAATCAAAGAGCTCAAAACCTAGTACCAAAAACAAATCTGACCTGACAGCTGCCATTCCCTTGCCTGGTTTCGTTTGCATGTCTGTGATCTGGGGAAGGAAAAAAAGCAAACACAGTTATTAGCATGCTGTCTGATGAACAAGATGCACTGGCAAATATTGGCATCACGGGAGGTAGGGGCCTGATCCAAAGCTCATAGAAGTCATTGGGACTCCCCCATAAGATTTGGAGTGTGAAATCCGGGCCCCGTTGAAGCTAGTGGCAAAACTCCCATTGGCTTCATTGGGACCAGGATTCATAGACTGATATAGTAAGGCCACTAGGTCATTCAATGACCATCTAGCCTGACCTCTTAGGATTTCACCCACTGAGCCTTGCCCTGAGCCAGTAATTTGGGACTGAGTAAGGTATATGCCTCAAAGAGTTGCCTAGTCTTTAACTGGAGACATCAAGAAATGGAGACTCCACCAGTTTGGAGACTAACCACCATTAAAAACAGGTCCCTTATTTCTATAACATTTGAAACGATCTGACACTAACTTCCAGCCCTTCATTCTTGTGACGCCTTTCCTTGCTAAACTACCAAGCCCTCCTTGCCGAAATACAAATATACTTTAATTGATACTCTTTTTGATCGTCACTTGGATCAGTGACATATCTCATTTACAGGTAATTTCTCCAGTACTTGAGTAGATGGCCATCCTTTGCACCTTCTTATGCTTTTTAACATCCTTTGCAACCTGTAGCCTGTGCACAACATAGCAAAGGTCTCAGGAAAGCCATATACATTTCACCCTAGGTAAGAGAATCTAGTAATCCAGCAGATTAATCACACATAATCAACTTCTCACTATTTGTTGAACTACTGAAATGTGGACCGAGTTGGGAAGCCCCTCGTAAGGTATAAAACCATAGATTTCAGAGAGTTGGTGGCCATCTGGGACCATGAGATCAGCTAGTCTGACCATCAAATTTCATTAAGATTGCTGCTATCAGGAGATACTGATATGTCACCAATAATTCTTATTATGATTGGTTCATGCAGCTCCTAAAAAGGGGTCACATAATAGATGAGCAGAATCTCCTCCTTCAGATGAATGCAATAGCATCGGCTTTACTATCTATTGTATTATCTACATTTATTTGGGGAGAAACAGCTTTGCGTTCAATGCTGTGAAGGACCTGGGGGAAGATGCGTTTCCCACCCCAAAGAGCATGTATAATATAGTAAAAGCATAGAGCCAGATCCTCAGCTGGTGCAGATCCATTGATGCCCCATGGCTATTGAAGCCAAAGGCGCTATCCCAATGTGTACAAGCCATAGGTACGGTCCAGAAGTGCTCAAGGCAACCACCAGATGTGCTGTGTAAGCATTTAACATCCCTTTCCCTCACTTACAGATTGTACTGTGAGCTTCCATGAGCAAGGACCTTGCCTTCCAACCTGCCCACACAAGGTCTATCACACTTCTGGCGTCATACAGTGGTCCATCAAAGATAAATGTACACAAAATAATACATCGCCAGAGTGAATAATATATGCACATTTGATAAATAATAAATACCAGCAATATTTCTGTCAGTGGTGGATGCAAGGGGATTAACGCTGCCTTTTCATGGGGCAGGCCAATCAAACTATTATTGCCTCTAATGGGTGCTTTCCTGAGCTGCTAACATCTTTGGTCATGGTTGAAAGATATACAGAGATGTGAGCAAGCCTCTCCAGGCCAATTCTAGCATGGAAAACCATGCAGATTTGTGCACGCAGCTGCCAAACCCACAGACATCTAAAAGTACATTTAGTGGTATTGTCCTGTGTGGTGCAGAGACGTCCAGCGTAGCTGGAAGCAATCAGCACCCAGGAGTCTGAGGTTTCATGCAGACTACTCCGAACAGAGTTGACGAGCCCACGCAGGGCTCTGCATCCCTGCAGGTCTGCAGCTTCCGGAATTGGAGCTACCCAGGGGCCGTCTTTGAAGACGTACCCAGAGGAGGGTGGGATATACCCGGCCCGCGGTTACACCAGAGCAATTCCAGCTACATCGCTGACATTTAGCCAGGGATGAAACTGGCCCATTGCCTTCAAGGGGCTCCAGTGGGTAGAGGAGAGTGCCATATGGACTGGACGCTCAAGGAGGAGAAGGCTTAGATACAGGTCTGGGGCAGCAGGAAACATGCGTCCCACGTTCCCCGGGTAGCTCATTTGGATGGAGGACCGACTCTCTGTAACGACAAGCTGCAATTCAGCTGCTAACCTGTGAGGCATGGGCGACTGGTGCCTCTCGAGTCTGGCGGGACACCAGATCGCTGACGGGGGGGTTCCCCCAGCTGCCAATTGCCAACCGGGGGGGGACATCCCCCAGCAGCCAATTGCCAAGCCACTTCCGCCGGCACTTCCAGTTTCACAGCTGGCGCTTCCAGGGGGTGCCCATGCACCCTGTGTGCACCCCCTATGCATCGCCAATGCTGTGAAGCGGGTAGTGCATAAACCGCAGAGGAGGCGACACAGAAGGCCTCGTCAGAGGAAGGTCCTTTGGAGAGATGCTAAAACTGAGCCAGCCCCCCCTGGTTTCTCTCCCCCGTTTTGTGACTGTGCTGTTTATCCTCGAACTCGAAGGCAGCAGCACGCCAAGGTGGCCCTCCCACTGCTCAGCAAGGGTGAGGAGCATGAATGCCAGCACGCTCCAAGCTGCTTGCAGGAGCTCTTCAGAGCACACCCCAGCAAATCAATATTGGACAGGATGATGGAGCTCAGCATTGCCAGTTCTCCCAAGCCTTGCAGTGTCTGGTGGGGTTTCCCTTTCTCCTCAATGCCCCAGCTGCCAGAATCAAGGGCTGACATGAGACTTTCCATGGTCACATTTAGACAAGAGGGGATCGTCCTCGTGGTGGTGGGAAAGGGCCTACAAACATGCCCTTCAGGTGCTCTTCTGCCCCCACCTCCGCCAGGGCTTCAGAGCTCAGGCCAATAAAAGAATTGTAGAAGAAAATAAACTCCTTTTCAAACATGGTTTGTACGCCAGTCTCTTGAATCTGAAGTTGCACCCCACGATTTCTGAGTGCAGGGGGTGGCAATACACTCAGTAAGGAGGGTGCTGCAGGAGGAACTGGGTTGCAACCTGAGGCCGGAGCCTGATCGCGTTTACTTCCTGAAATATTCTGAATTAAGTCCCATAATTGCTACAGAGTTTCTTCCGACTTATCCAGGAGTAACCGAGATCAGGATGTGGCCCCCGATGCTCACTGTATACCTCTGGCCATTCACCGTGCTGCACGCCAGCCTGGCTCTGCAGCTGCAGAGAGGGGAGCTAGTCTTATCATTTGCTCTGTTTGGCAAAATGCAGGGTCCTCCTGCACATTTCGACTTTTAGACCTATAATAACTAATGCCAGGAACGTTGCACTCCTGTTTTCATTTCTGTGCCTGGCCCCAGAGCCTCTTAAACATCACTGCTTTATCCAAGTACTTTTTGGAGGGGAAGGGAGACAGAGTCAGACTTTCCACTGCTGTCCGTGCTGCGGCTCTACTGCCTCAGCAGCCAGGGCTCTGCTCTCCGGCTGCGGCATCCACCAATTTAAACTGTGCCCAGCAACCTGGGTGCTGTAATGCCTCCATTAATCACCCAGCAGACATGCATGCAGACTCCACGCTGCTCGCTAAGAAGTCAACTTTATGGCATCTGAGAGCAACTGCGCTGACACTGTGACTGAGTGGATGAATTAATGAACCCATTACCCCATTATGCATTGGATCATCGCAGCCATTGAATTAATACCGTGTTTACACTTCCGACCCATACTCACTAAGCGGCTTGATATGCTTCCTCCTGCTTTGTAAACAATCAAGCTGTACACGGATTTCTCCTCCACGGTGTAGTTAAAAGCGGAGGCCGGTCCAGGAGTCTCTTGCAGGTTAAAGCGAAGGGTTTGCTGCTTGCCGCTCAATATTAATTTCAAATACTCAGCTGGATCCTGCAGAAAGAAAACAAGCTCCAGTACACGAGGAAAGAGCTGTCGCTTCCTGGGGAATTGCAAACCCAATCTCACTTCAAGGCAGGTTACGGAGAAAGGTTAATAGGGAGGGGGATTTTCAAAGGTAGCTGGAAGCATCCCAAGCTGCTTGGGAAATGGCTTGCGTTGACCTCTGTGCTTTGATGCTTGTCTAGCCAGAGCTCAGAGCAACTTCTCCGTGCGTGCAGCAGCCCACTGGCCAGAGCAGACCCTCCCTACTTGCTGCTTTTGATTACCCAGGGCTTAGCGCTTCACCCAGCATGTGCCGCAGCTGGAAAATGAAATTACAGGCAGCCGGTGGTGGCCACGCTGAGCACCTCACAAAGGCAATGCCCAACGTGCGCAGGGCTCTGCAAGGAGAGAGATCTGAGCGTCCGGGTTGCGGCTGAAGCTCTTCCCCACGCTCTTCTCTCCGTTCCAGGCCCGTGCATTGAAAACCTTAAATCCGAATCCCAAGAGTGATGTTTTAATTGAAATTGAGCTTTGCGACCTGCAGACCAAATGGCTGCCCGTATTCGCCCTGGGACAACTACCCGCTATTCTTAATTACAGCCGAACACCGTTAGCCAGCTGTTTATTTCTCATTTAAATACACCTCAAGAACCATTGTTTCTATTTTGAGGCTGCGATGGCAGTGCCCCGGTCTCCGGGAGGCAGGCCCCCACCCACGCTGTCACGGCAGGGACAGCACAGGAGCTAGGACGTGGCTTTCTGATCCTCCAAAGGAAAGGGAGCGTGAATGCATCCTCTTTCCCGCGGGAGTCTCAGTGCTATATGGGATGAGACCTGTCACCTGGGGCGCTCGTACACGTGACGGGGGTTTAGTCCTTAGGGTTGTATTCTAACCCCCTAAATTGAAACGGTGGGTTTTTAACTGAAACCCACTGTTTCAATTTAGGAGTTTTATCTTTCTGTCACTGTTACGGTGAGGGGCCCGATCCTTTTTTCTGCAGAGCTGCCCGCCTTTCCTGCAACGGGGAGGGGTGAGCTAACAGCTGCAATGCATCGTTGCAAACTAAACTACATCCTGATCAGGATGTAGTTTAGTTTGCAACGATGCAAATGCATTAAACCCCCCCAAAACTCTTGCACGTGTACAGTGTGATGCTATGAAGCCATATGAAGGGACATTTTCATCACGTGTACATGGTAATGGCGTCACATGTACAAGCGCCTCTGGAGCTGAGATGACAGCTGATCATTTGAGGTGTTAGGAAGCCCATCTACAACACACCCCAGTTCGGGGAATAGGAGCTGAGGGTAATCAGCACTGCCCGTACTCTTTAACTGAGGGAGACCGCTCCCACTTTGGACATCTGAAAGCTGCACATGAGGTCTGCTGGTGTCACTGAATCCCGCTGGACTGTGGATACGGCCTTCTCATCCTGAAAGAGCCTACCTGAAAAGTCTCAATGGGCTGCTGAAAGAGGTCTCGGTCTTGGACTGTCACTTGAACTTTGTTGTCTGCCAGATTCAGAACTTGAAGGAAACTTTCTTTTGGAACAGGCTTGGGCATGTCACGCTCCTAATTAAAATAAAAGGTTTTAAGCACCACTGTCCACTTTGCAAGAGCTGCTGAACATTGCTTGGTTTATAGCTGTAATATTCTGCCTCTGTAATGACGGTCTTGTCAAATTGCCACTTCCCCGTCCCTTCTTTTCTGCAAGCTGCACTGTGACATGACAGAACATAAGTCTTATTTAGGGAGCTCTTTCATGGTAGTTGCTTGCTCGCTGCTCTGCCATTCTTCAGAAGGGTACTCTCCACCATAGCACACGTCCATCAAATATATGCAAGACTAATTAGCTGGGGGACTTTTATTTGGGCCATTAGAACCAGGCTGATTTGGAAATGTTATCTTTCCCAAGCGCCTACATTTAATTGACTATTGTGTCCTATCATGTTAGAATCGATGGAGCTAGAGATCTGTCTCTGTGTATGGACAGGATTTCAAAAAGCACTCAGTCCTGGTCTGACTTTGTTCCCACTGCGGTTGACTTTAAATAAAAGCAAAATAAAGCTAGAACTGAGCACTTTGGAAATGCTCCCCCTGCTATAGCTCCATATTAGATACTCTGAACCGTGCAATATCTAATGCAGCGGCTCCCAATCTGTGGTACGCGTACCACCAGTGGTACACAGACAACCTGTCAGTGGTATGTGCTAATGAATTTATCATCATTACTTTATATGACAAAAATTCACTGGTGGTTCTTAAGGTTGAACTGAACACTTTGCTGGTGGTACTCAAGGTTGTGTCGTTTTAAATTGGTGGTGAGCAATGTCAGAGTTTGGGACCTGCTGATTTAATGGATGACTACATGCATCTTTCCACCTATCCACTTAGAGAGAGTAAGTGCTATAGGGAATGGGTAGGGGGAGAAGCATTTCAGTAATGCCAGGCAAAATCATAGTAAGGCCACTCGTGTGTCTGCTTTTACCCCACAGCAAGTAAAAGCTAAACTAGGGTAGCTCTGTCCTCCTTCGTTCGGCATGGCAGAGAAAAGTTGCTGTGGTTTTGCTTCTCCTTAAAAGCAGGCACACAGGCAGGTAGCACAGAGCATCTCCCTTTTAACGCGCTGCAGTTTGTTACTTGTCCATACTTTCAGCGTGACTATGCCTACCTGTGCTACACCAGACAAAACTGCCTGTGGGGTCTAGGCCCTCCTAACAGCTGTGATTCCTCCCTGGGAAATGCCACATCTTGGGTGCCAGGCTGCTTTTACAACTCAGACACAACTCAAGTATTTTGCCTGGGTAAGGAGTGTAAAGCAGGGAGGAGAAATGAATCCGCAAAGTCTAGCTCTAGCGAGTGGTTTGCCAATGGTTTCACAATAAATGCCAGCCAGCATTAGCAACCTCAGTGACTCTGGGGCCGCCCTGTGATCTAACGTATCTTGGTGAGTTGATTTGTTTTTAAGTCTGGATGGAAGTTTTAAGATGTAATTCCTTATTCATTTTTATACGCCACAGCTCAGTCTGTGTCTGCCAAGCCTGGAAACAGCAATAAATGGTAAGGCTTGGTAGGACAAGCATACAGACATTACAAGTGATTAGAAAGTGCATATAGAAACAGCGTGAGCAACTAAGACAGCAGGGGCCAACCTTTTTAGCGTGCCATAAATTACCTCCTCACCTTCCCCTGCCCGATCTGGTGCTCTGCTTTCTGCTCCCAGCCCTGGGCTCCCTGCCCCATTTGCTGCTTTGCTTTTTGCTTCCTGCCCTACCTGCCGCTGCGGTGCCTGTCCCCTCCCGGATCTGCTACGTGCCCCATGCCGAAGCTGCCCGTGCCACTTGTAGCACCCATGCCACAGGTTGGCCACCCCTGAACTGAGCAAATGAGCACATGCACATGCATTATCATTGAGAGAGTTCTCCTGGCAAACAAATCTGATCCGAAAACCATCAAAGGAAAGGACTGCCTGCCCACCCCACCCCACCCCCAGCCAAAAAACCAGCCCTATTAAATTCAAGCAGAAAACAAAGCACAGACGGAAGAGAGGAAGCACTACCTCTTTGGAATTAGCCACTAGTGTTAATTGGGTGTTTGTCAAGCACTTTGATGATGGAAAGCACTATATACTAGGAACCAATAGAGTCGATCAGCTCAGCAGAACTGCAAAGATTAGAAAGAGAGAGAGGCAGACAGATAAAAATGAGAAGTCTTAGTCTTAGTCGTATCAATCTGTTCAGTGGTAAAGTATGCATTAATGACACGTATCAAGCTGTACGGCAGTTAAAAGGGGCACTATCCCATCGCCGTCAATAAAGTAGCCGAATGAGAGAGATAATACATTTATCAGGGATTGTGCACATCTCCTTCCATGCGGCTGCTTTAGACTTACATTAATTTTGACTTCTATGATGGCTGCGGCTGCAAATGCCAGAGCTGCAAGGATCATACCTGTTGCCATTTTTTTAATAGGCCTGCAGAGTGAACGACAGAGATTTCATTATAAAAAGCGTCATTTAAAATGTATAAATACCATCCCTCAGAGTCAAAGATATTCCAAACTCATGAATTAAACTGTCCAAACAGGTGGCATCACGGCTGATGTACTGCTGAAGCTGACAATCACTTCGTCGAAAACTGTTCTATTATACGGTGTGGAACCAGCACCGAGGCCAATTAAAACTGATATGCCATGAAAAAAGCTCTTTGCTTGCAAGTTCCACATCGTCTTGTTCCGAGCTCTTCTAGTGGGAATCGCTTCTGGCATAATGTTAACTTACAACACTGGAGGAAGCACCGCAAATTATATATCTTCAAGCCTCTTTGGGGAAAGACAAAAAAGGCAGCAGACTATTGAACAGCAAGCTTCCAGAACAGAAAAATATAGCGTTTATAATTATCAAAACTTCCAACCACCTGCATCACCTGGGCTGTATTATTTTTCAAGATGCACGTGGAATAGGTTCAGATCGCACCTACTCTCTTGGTGTAAATGAAGAGTGACTCCATTATAGTTATGCTGATGTAGAGCTGGTTAAAGAGCAGACATTGGTCCCAACTGGACTTTTGAGTTCAGAGACGGATCAAAATACATTGGGATGATTATAATACAGATCTGGAATGAGATCAAACAGTTGCAAATGTCTCCAGTCTTTCTCAGGGTCTGAACCAAAACTGCACAGCAGATCCAATAGTCTGATCCAAAACTCCACACCCAAACTCTCCTGAGTGCTGAGCTGCTGCAAATCCAAATTATGGGTCCAAATTTTGGAGCTTGAGCCCATCCCTCAATTAAATGCCCCAGGATAGCCAAAGACATGTGGGCACTTTATGGTGTTGTAATAAATCAATATTTTTGGCCCAGATCTGGCATTGGGATTGAAATAATGCAGATTTCTGAACCAGGTGATGTCTCTTGGGACCACTGCTTCATGTAGGATATGTGCTGTTAATCCAGATGCTAAGCTCAGGGAAGGAAAGACTGATTTGCATCCAATGTTATTGTAAGTGCAATATGATATGGTGGAGCAGGCCCCAAAGCACAGGATTTTCTCCAGCCTGTGCTGCAGGGCATCACGCTTAATCTGTGTGTGCGTTTGGAGGTGTGACGGGCTAAGAGGTGATTCTGATGCTGTGCAAGGGCACTTTGGGGTAGCATGCAGAAGCAACGCACAGCACGTGCTCCAGAGATGCTGTGGTTTAGGAAAATGCAATGCTCAATAGCATGCATGGGAAGTATGGCTGGGGCTCTGCTCGGAAAGGGCCTGCCTGGGTCCTCAACTAATAAGTGCATTGAGCTTGGGAGGCCTGATCTGTGGCCCACTGAAGTCAACAGAAAGACTCCCATTGGCTTTGCAGGGGGCTGAAGAGCAAGGATGACCTTTGAGCTTGGCCCTTGCAGGAAATGAACACAGAGAAAGGCTCCATCAGTCTCTAAGGCAGGAAGGGAATGAGAGCAGTACAAGATATAGAATGAGAAGCAGTGGAAAGAAATTCAGAACGGGAGAGAGGAAGTTGACTGTCGGGAAAAACTTGCTAACAAAAAAAATCTGCTCTAACATGGGACATTCTGCCAAGGCAGGTGCCTTGCCCTGATGCTTGAGACATTTTCATGTGCGCTACACAAAGCACAAGGGACCTGGCCAACCTAATTTGCCTTTCGCCTCTCTGGAACGTCTATGGACTTTGCAGTAAGTTGGCAATGCTGGCAAATGCAAGACCCAAGGCTCATTCAGAAACATGCAAGCCTGCATTTCTCATCCAGTTATTCTTCTGCACTGCTGCTGCAAAAGAATAAAGCTTAAGCCGCGTCCGCTGAATTGAGTACTTACGTAAAGTTTAATCTGCACAGATTTAACAGGGGGTAGAGCCCAAGGTCAAAAATGGGGATGAAGATAAGAATCAGAAGTGGATTTAAGAACTGCAATACCAAAGAACAGCAGAGATTAGTGAATGGAAAACCACATACAGTACTTAAATCCATAAAGCACCGCCCTCCAGAAATAATGCCATTATAGGAGGGACATGAACAAACACGTAAAACTCCCCTTAAAATATAATCACACTTTACAGTTCGATAACTGCTCCTATTCAGGTTTTGAAAACATGAATGGATGTATCTGTGCAATGCCCTTTGGAGGCAGCCCTGGGGTATTAGTCCAATTTTGCAGAGGGGGAAACCAAAGTAAGGTGTTTTCAAAGATCACATAGACATCTACAGGCAATAGAGATGAGGGAACTTTTGTGTCAGGACATCCCCTCCAAACCCTAACGATGACGCCAGGATTGGGGTTCTTCAACATTGTGTTGAAAAATCTCATGACAATGGGACCTCTTTGAGGGTTTTCCAACCATTCCCGGTACCAGTCATGTCAGAGATCCCACAAGAGCGGCATGTCTCATGGGATGCCCTTCGTTGTGCTTCCAAGGAGAAGGGAGGGCATGAGAAGGAATAAGGACTGCGGGGAGCAGCCATCAAACACCCTTGGATCTCCAAGTGTGGATTTCAGGGAAGTTCTGCCTTTGAATTTCTCTGAAGCTGCTCGTGCACCCCTGGGGAGCACAGAAGTGCTGTTACCAACTAGGATAACCCTGCACGGTCTGGGAACCTTAACACTTCACCTCCGCTGCAAGGGGTGAGCCAGGAAATGCACTCGCAGCACAGGGACCTAGAGAAGGGAGACTAGCATGTGTCTTCCTTCTCCAAGGGTGGTTGGGGGCTGGTCTGACTCTGGTTTTGACTGGAGCAGTTTGACGACCTTCCCTAATTTGCACCTTTGCTCAAAAGGCTCTATTGAGTTGACAGAACAGGAACAGCCATAACCACAGCCCCTCTCACCCCACCCCGGACAGGTTTCTGATTCAGTCCCTGCATTAGGAGTCCTGAGCTGGCTATTGGACTTAGGCTGTAAATAGGGCCCCTGGCAGTCATAACACTTAAGACATGATTAACCAGTTAACTGCTGGTCAGCCAAGGCCTCCAATGCACTACTCTGCATGGGAGTGCCTATCACCTGACTTGTGATCCAAGCCACAGGAGCACCGAACCCCCGGCTTGTTACTTGCCAGTGCAGGGGAAGCTGGGGATCAAGATCCCTAGCTCTCTATGCACCAGCAATAGGATGCATTTGGGATCTGACCCCCAGTACTTCTTGCACATGGAGGTACAGCATAAGGCACAATAGTTGGGACTGCAGAGCCTTTAACTGAACAACCGCCAGCTGTCTAGATGTTGCATTTGTCCTTGGTGAAAGCTGTTTGTTCAGGGCTCCTACAGACATACAAGTCCATTGTCTCACTTTAACTCCCTGTGAACTCTGTCGATAAAATGTGCTAATGCTTTTTCCCAGGACATAGCAATGTGCACCTGCAGGGGCACGGTGGGTCACTCCAAGGACAAGCAGGCTAGGCTGCATGCTCTTGCTTGCTACCTATTGTCAGAGGAACAGCCATGGAAGTTGGAAGGGTGATGTGTAAATGGCTGTGCTGCTCCTGTTTTGATCCAAGTCAAATGGTGGGACAAGCAGACCCACCTCAAATGTGATATCTGTTAACAGCCTAAGAAAGTGCTAAGGCCATAAGACTGTAAGCTTCTGCAAAATATCTAGCAAATTAAGGAGCTGAGCCTGCACTGTGGAGTCAATGGGAGGATTGCCATTTTCTTCACTGGGAGCCAGGCGGGACCGTAAGTGCAGTGAATGAACAAGGAATTAGAAAGGCTGGCCCCTTTCAGAGACAGTGCAATGCCCTCCAGGTTCTTTACCTGCATTTGGTCAGGTTTAAGGATAAGTCCTCCCTGAAACACAAAAACAATTACAAATTTACAATGCTTCATAAACACTAAGACAGAACTAGGGACCTACCTAATTTGCGGGGGCTGCCCCCTGATTTTGTGGGCAGAACATGGGCGCAAGCAGCCATTTCATAGGTGGAGCACAGTGGGATCCCAACCTGATTGGCCAAGGGGCCCCAGTGCTGCTGACTAGCTGCTGGGGCTGCCTATCATGTGGCCCCACTCATTGCCACTGATTGGCTATGAAGGCTGCCTGTCATGCAGCCCTGCCCCTTACCGCCATTTGGTGGGGAGGGGTGAGCCATATGACAGGCAGCCCTCACAGCCAATCAGCAGCCATCTTGCCGCCAGCCCTTCAAGTGGGCAGCCCCACCCCTTCCCCATCCCAGTGTGCGGCTGCAGTCTGCTGGCTCCCTCTGGGGAGCTGCATTTTAATTTTAATAAGTTATTTTTTTCTTATTAGTGGATTTTGTAGACTCCTTGGATTTCGCGAGCAATGCCGGATTTTGCAGAATCTGCAAAATCCAAAAAATCACAAATTCAGTAGGTCCCTAGATATCACAGTACCCACAATAAGCAAAGAGCTTGCAGGACAGATCTCCATAGCCAAAGCAGCATGTTAGACACTTTGTGTTGATATGGTGAGCTCCCTGCCATGTCTCTTCTAAGAACATGGAACAGAATGGAATTATTTGCAGAAGAAAATTATACCCCTCAACAGAGGGTAAATGGGGGAGATTTTATCGCATGATAACACTGGAAGCAACCTCTTCTCCAGATATAAACAGCCCTAAATCTGGCAGGGAGGAAAGAATGGACCTTTTGCAGAATCCAGGGCTGGGATTTACCGTTACTGTTGAGGCTACCTTCCTCCACATCCATGCTTTGAGCCAAATCCTGTCCCCTAATGTTCTTGAACTTTGTGTAACCTCAAAATGTCACCAACTAAAGCCTATTTTTGGATAATACCTGTGGTTTGGGGGCAATATTAACTCAGGCTCTAGGTCCTACCACCCAAGTTCAAACACCCGAGCAAGAGAACCAACAGCTCTGTTGGCCAAGGCCATGGCAGACTCATCACCTTCTGCATGTGGTACAACCAACAGAGCACTGTACTTAATGCATGTGGGCTGCACCATCCGGTGGTAGTTTGGAAATGTTATTTTGAGCCCAGGATACAAATTCATTCACAAAAAGGAAAGTTTAGCAGTCTTGAGAAAGGAGGATATGTACACTTGGCTCAGGCAGGGATTTCTCTGAGCGCAAAGAGCAAACTGATAGCTGCAGACAGAATACATTTCATTTTTGATTAAGAGAAGAAACAAAGGAAAAACCAACCACAGAAAGAAAGGGCAGAGTATGTGCTTGCCCTGTCCCTGGCAGTGTGCACTGAGCTGAATGCAAAATATCTGCCTGTCGCTGCAGAGAGCAGAAACAGGGGGGACTTGAAAGTACAGTGCACAGAAAAAGCACGGTTACAAAGGTAAAAACACCCTGGCAGGATCTCCCCCGCCCCCATCCTTCCACCGGTTTGCATGACTCATACCGCATGTGAATTTGGTCCTATGGAAGTATGAACATTTCACCTTAGACCCAACTTTCACTACCTCTTAATCCATTCCTTACCCAGAGAAATCTTTAGTAGAGGAAACAATGGGGATTTTACAAACCTGACTTCTGGGAAGCCTAAAAGAGGCACCATCTCAGTAACACTGGGATAACAGTAACATTCATTCATGATATTCGTTCTTCCCTCGCCATGCAACAGGGAGGGATAAAGGTTTTGGAGACACTCTGGTGCAGGAGCTGAAAGTCCTGGCACATAAAATCCCTGGTTGGTTTATTTTAAGGCATGGAAAATTGAATCACGTAATCGTTGATTCTTAGATGCTTTGTTAATGTAGCACTAAATAGATACCGGCAGAAATACAGATGAAAGCGCATCTAGTTATATACCCAGAACAGCAGCGGTGTGAATCAGCACTGATTTTGCTTTCTGGGATTGAGGGGAGATAAAATATTACCGGAGGTGTTGTCTTTTTATGCCTCATTTGGAACCTGGATGAGCAATTAATGCGAGTGACCCGGTGGGGTTTATATTTCGGAAATGAAAACCACTTTAGAGACAGGCATTTCTATGTGTAAGTGCTGATTTAACTGTCCGCATGTAAACTTGGGTTAGCTTGGTAAGGTTCCTGCCTGGAAAGGGAACCCTAAATAATGAAATCCTTACTCAGACAGGTCTCACATTTATCTGTGGTCGTACCTTGCTTCATTTGCAATGTCCATTTCTAAAGTCCTTTACACCTATTGACTAATTAAAGATACAGCCTCCCCATACTTTACCAATGGGTTTTGTTCATTTGTAGATGCCTGAATAAGGTGCCATTGGATATGCACTTAGCAGAAATAAAGACCCGCCCCCCCCGGTTCCCAGATGCAGGTCACAATGGCTGCACGAACCTTTCTGAGAGGGATTAAACACGGCCTGGGATGATAAGTGACTGGCTAAAGCTCACAGGGGGATTCACAGCCCAATCCTGGAGAAGAGCTCAGGTATTCTTGGCTCAGAGCCCTCCTGTTTCATTAGACCGCCCTTCTTGCCCTGAGCCTTAGGAAAACCTACATGGGCATCTCCAGCTTTTTTAATCATCAAAAAAAAATGCAGCTCTCACAAAACTGGAAAGCATCAGGTTTAAATATTGAGAACAAATCTTTTCTGACATGTTAATTCAATTAATCTAAAAGTAAGTTCTGCTTTTGTACTCCTTAATAATGTCAAATACGTACAAAGTCGGCATCCATTTTTGTGGCTTGCAGTGTCCACCTGGACCCCTAAGGACAAAACAGACCACAGTAAGCCCTCCGGTCGGGATGAGAAGATAACAGTAGAGGAAAGGAGAGCATTACTTCTCTTTTCCTTCCTTCGCTGGTCTCCCCAGTCTCTCTCTCATGCTCATTTAGCGCGCCTCTCCCCAGCCCTTCTTTTTTCACTCCTCTTTTGCTTCTGTAATTAAGCCCGACATGCTCTTTCCATCCACCCATCTCCCTCGCCCTAGGAACCAAGCCAGACATTGGAGGCCAAGCCACCCTGGACACCAGGCACCAGCTCATCGACCCAAGCAGACCCTTCATGGGGAGATGATAGGTCCTTGGTGCTCTGTGACTTCAGGGCAGTCCCTCCAAAGGTACGGTCCCCATGAGACCCACCGCCCTGCCTGCATCATCCTGTAGTTTACCTGTTGATCAAACAGGGCCCAGAACATCGGCAGTGGGATGAACAGGAAGAGGACGCGTGTCACCATTTTAACCTCATTGATCAGTTGTTTCTATTCAGGGAAAGATAAAAGGACGGCGGAACAGCTGATGGCAGTTTCAGTCCCCAGTGTGTGAAGACCCCCAATTAACTCCGAGGAACTGGGTGGCAAAGTGTTTATTGTCTTTAGTTTAGTTTAGTGGCACCCCCATTATTGTATTGCAGACTCCCAGTCCAGATCAGGGCCGTGCTGAAAAACACAGAGGCAGACCTGGTCCGTGCACAGCGCACTTGATCATCCAGGGAGAGGTGCGCTAGATGGAGGGTGGTGGGAGCGGTAGACAACCGCATGCACCCAGTTGCATACACAAATCACAAGAGATGTGTGTGTGCTGGATTTGCTGTGCAATGCTCCATATTGCATGGCTTTTTAGTGCTTCTTGAACTGTGTCAATGGACCGTGGATTTTCTGAGTTCGGTGTAAAGGGAAATTTGCCCGTGTCTGAGTATTCAAGGACTCACAGACACACAGCTTGGAATGACGTGTCCCTTTCATGCCACCGTATTGAAATGCAATTGCCCACGTAGCCCTGGGTGGGCAGAGAAACCTCTTCTGTGCAAGGCACCACTTACTGAGTACTTCTCTGATGCCCAGTCGAGCCAGTGTTCCCTCTTTGGAATTAGACGGGAGCGGTTTTTCACCCGGTTCTTAATGGCAAACTAGAAGGAAGCACAAATGAATCACATACTTGGGCACGTCAGCCAATGAAGCCACCCCCTTTAACCTCCACTGCACCCCCATGTCCCATCCCAACTCAAAACTGCCCTCCCCATCCTCAGGCCTTCACGTGGTCTATGCAGCTGCAGAAACCATGCTAACTTGGGTCCTTCACTTGGCACTTCTTCATTCCCAGGAGCCCACCTTTTGCAGGGGCAGCCGGCCAGACAAAGTCAATGCTTCGGGTTATTCAGGAAATAATCACTCTCCTTCCCACTACAGAATCAGAGAACCATAAAAGTGTGGGGCGGGAAGGGACCTCTAGCAGTCAACACGTTCAAACCTCCACATGGAGGCAGGATATGGCACATGTAGACCATTTCTGAGCGGCGCTTGTCTGACTTGTCCTTAACCACCTCCCGCGCGGGAAGCTTCATGACCTCCTTGGATAGCCTGTTCCAGTGTTTCACCGTCACTCTATCGGCTAGACCATTTTTTCTCTCTAGCTGCAAACTAGAAACTGCAAATGAAGCAGGTTTCTTCATATCCTCCTGCCACCACCTGGAAAGAACTGACCGTCGTCTCTTTTCTTCAGGCTTCTCCATATGGGAAGACGTACCGTGTCCTCCTTGAATGAAGCCATCTCCCTCATCCCGTCTCATTTCCCTTCCTTGCTGCTGGTTCATGCAGTTTCCTACTCAAAACAGCCCCCCACGTTCTCAGCCTTCGTACGACTCGGTGAGCCCAGTCCCACCCACCTTTCCTTAAAGATTGGGTTTTCCAAGCCGCTGGTCATTCTTGTTGCTCTCTGTTGGACTCTGTTGAGTTTGTCTACATCTGCTCTAAAGGACAGCGATGAAAACTGGACATGTTATCTAGCTGAGGTTTCACCAGGACTGAGGGGAGCTGAATGCTTATCTCCCATGCCCTATGTGGCTGTTCGTGGATCCCAGAATGAGATTCACTTTTTTGGCAGCAGCATCACCACCTAGTCGACTCACATTTAGGTTGCAGCCTACTGTACTGACCAGATCCCCTTTCCTGAGTGCTGTAACCTGCCCTCTCCTTCCTCCTTTTGTGTTTGCACTCTTATAGATTCATAGATGTAGGGTGGGAAGGGATCTCAGTAGATCACCGAGTCCGACCCCCTGTCCTGGGCAGGAAGGAGCGCTGAGGTCAGACGACACCAGCCAGGTGCATGTCTAGCCTCTTGATTTTTCCTTCCTAAGGCTGGCCTTTTGCACTGGAGGCTTTGCTTGCTTTGATGTTTCCTGATATCAGGCTAAAACATCTGTATGTTGTAGACAGAAAAAAAATAATGCTCAAAGCTCTTCAATGCCATTAAATGTCTGCAACCCCCCTGCCTCTGGGCCCCACCCTCAGCACTGCACATTTGGGGCTTATCATTATTCATGTCCTGATCCCATCCACCTGGCAGGTCCACTGGTCCCCTTCCTCTTTTTAAGTCTCACGGACAAGTCTCCGTACACTCTCCACTTCAAGACAAGTCCAGTGACTCTCTGAGGGGCCAGATTTTATTCCATCAGCTCGGCATGCAAGTAGGTTCAGATGTCTAAGTGTGATACCGCTCCAGCCTGCACGAGTCCCTGAAAGCCAGTTAATGCACAAGGTAGGTGGGACATCCTCCTTGCTGCTTTTTTGTGACTTGGTCTTAACGGCAAAGCGAGTGTGCTACAAAAACGGATGTATTGCTGGATTTTCAGGGACTTGAACAGACTGGATTATAACCACACTTAGGTGCCCAAGTCTGTTTAGATGCACAATAGGTGGCCCTGAGGGATGCTCGCGCTGAAGGCAGTGGGAGTCGTAGGCTTGCAAAATGGGGCCTTTCATGACTGTTTCTCTTGGAGAAGTTTCCTTTCATGACAGTATGATGAAGGGAGCGCCGTGAAAACGAACTGCGTTCTTGTCGTATCTCTCAAAGCTACGTTTGATGCCAGGCAGAAAGATCATTTCTGACTTGATATAACGCCCGTCACATGAAAATCCTGCTCATCTCAAATTCACAGAACAGCCTTCCAGCCATTTTTCTTCTCTAAAAGCCACACTTTGGAGTTGGCCACTGGCACAGAAAAGGAAATGCCTCATTATCTACTGCAATGTCATTGCCGGACGTCTCATCCCTCAGTCCTTCTGCAGACCTATCTGAGCATTAACCCTGCCACTCCTCTCCGGAGAAGTAGTAGATAGCGGGGCCTGCAAGGCTGGGTTCCTTTTGGAAGAGAAATTAGTGACGAGTAATTACACATAACCCCTCCCTTCTGCCTGACTTCAGACTAAGCCAGCTAAGTACCTCTCTCTGCGTACCCCAAACTGTGAACAGACGTGATAACACACAGACCCCAGACAACCTCCTCACATTCATCGGAGCCTCAAGTCCCGGCTCTGCGATGGCATCCAGTGAAGTGAGCTCAGCTCACAAAACCTTATGCATCTCCAACTGAGTTGGTCTATAAGGTGCACCTGTACCCTGCCTTGTGCCTGACTTCGGACTAACACAGCGAACAACCCCTCTCTGTACCCAGGAATGACTGCTGCAAGTACTTACTCTAGCTAGAAAGTTTAAGGAGGAGAGAAAATGCTTGCTGTTGGAGCTCATCAGCCAGAGTAGATGGGTGGGAAGTCCCCACCAGGACATGCTAGGGATGCAGAGAAGACTACCGAGCGGTTGTTGAAAGTACACGCTCCCCAGAACCGTTAAACAAGCTAATGGCCTGAACAGCCCGTTTGCAAGAGCTCCCCTAAGAGGGATGACTTGACAATGCTAACAACAGGCAGTATTTTTTTTTCCAAGAGCACACGCGGAGATAAAGAGCTTCTCAAACTGCAATAGCTCCTGCCGGTGACTCCTGGCATAACCGCACGAGAGTGAACCTGGTTCGTGGGTCTGTGTTACCCCAAGCTAGTCTATTAGGCCACAACCTGCCAACATTACTCCACCGCCCCACTGACACGAGCAGAATAACTCACGAAACAAGGCATGACTTCCTCAGCATGTAGTCGGGAGGCAAAACCCGGCCCTCCGTGGAATGTCTCATTCCACGCACAGCTCACAAATAGCCCAACCGGGAGCCCTCCAAGCCCACTCGCCTCCTGAATGTGTTATTTCAAAAAAGGCTCCAGTGAAACCATGCCTTTGCAAGGCTGCAGCCTTAGAGCTGGGCGTGCAAGCGATGAAACAGGGACTCACTCACCCCGACGCACTGACAAACTTGGAGTAGGATGTTTCCCCGGGGCGGCGTCTTCTTGTACAATCCACTTCCGGAAATAAATACGACTGCAAAACACGAGAGCGTCAATCTGGGATTCATTCGGTGACTAAGGCTTTGTTCTGCAGTGGCTCTGTGCAGGGGGTTCCTATGGGGCTCACGCACCGTGGACCTCATGCCAGCACATACGTGCACACACGGCCAACGTGACGCATCGCCCACGTGCCCTTTCATACGTGCAGTGAGATGGGGGGATTTTTATGGGTGCAAAGAGCAGCTTGGCATCCAAATCCCACAGGGAATCGTTAGGAACTGGCTATCCTCAGGGAAAATGACCTTCTGTTTGTCTGCTCTGAACCCTGATTACAAACCCTGCCAAACACGTGGGCTGTTGCTGTATACTTAGGAATATGGCACCCTTTTTGAAACCAAACATTTCTTCTAAGAATGACCCCTGTCTTACATTTGAATTAAAAATGCTAAAAAGCTCTTACACGCTCCATAGAGGTTGTTTCCTCGTCCACGGGTCTTTATTTGATGGGGGAGGAGGGGGTTTCTTAAGTCTGGAGCCATAAATTGAGGGTGCATTTTAAATTGGAAGGACTATGGTAAAAGCCCATCAGCCCATGACTAAGCAACAGGCTGTATTCCCCACAATGTTGAAAGAAGTCATCCAGATCCAAGGCAGGATGCGCATTTTGTATTTTGTGTTTCTAAATTAACCAGACCACCTATGTCGTATGCTGGAGTTAGCAGAGATCATCTGTGTTCGTGGTCTCCTGATCGTTTGAAATACCTTTCCTTGCCCCATAGCTTTGCTCCCTTGAAACATGAGTGGGAATAGAGCAGGCTTTCTAAAGGCCCCATCAGAGATGCAGGCGTTTGGGCAGACATTTGTCACATAACGGGGGCACTCTACGCGGTAGCATAAGAGCAGCAGGACATCCATTGCTGATCAGATCTTGCCATGAAGCTCTGCAAAGATTTGCCAGCCTTTCCCCCCGGCTCCCGGTACCCTGCTAGACGTGCCTGCCACGCAGCTGCACACACAATATATTGTTCTGTCTTAAACAGATAGGAACAAACCGTGTGGGAAATGGGAAGCTTTATGAGCCTGTGGCCATGCACATTTTGAAATAATTGCTGTACCATTACTTGCTGGCTGATTATGTTTCTCTAGTGACCTGTTTCCTCCTCTTTGCTGGAGGTTTTCCAGGAAGACGCCACATTCATTTTCTCAGGAAGCACGAGCTTTCGGGTCACTGACGTTCTAGATTAGCCGCTGATACTCCGACCACAGATCTCAAACCCCAAATGCCTCTTTCACTTCCCATCTGTGGCTTTGCACAGATGGGAATCAGTTTGGTGGGCTGTTTTTTTTTATTGCAGGTGTTGCAATAACGCAACACATCCCCTGCTTCACTGTGCAAAGTGAGTGTGACTTGGGCTGGTTGTGTAGCTCCTGAGCTACTCAGGACCAAGTGGGTATATCGATATTGGGAAGGTCTATACCAGGATGCCCCGGGTGGCTGTTCCCGAGCACACCCCCCCAACTTGCAGCAGCATCCACATGCCCAATCTGGAAATACATCATTGCAGAGACCCCGGGACACCCCCCGTGGCTGCTCTTGAGACCTGGGCGTCCAGCATGCTTCAGAGCACCTGCTGGACGTGACCCTGGTGTGTTCCCAGGTTGGAGTATGCATGTGGACATGCTGCGGCTCTGGTGTGGACATGCCTGCAGTGCCCGCTCCATTGTGCTCCAGCAGGGATGCAACCAAGCACGCTGCATACCCCAAAATGGCCGGGCTCCAGCATGCTGGACCCCAAGTTCTCCAGGGGAGGTACAGGGGCACATCCTCTGGAGACAAGTTCATCATTGCCTTTCTGGTGCTGGAGCTCATCAGCCAGAGTAGAGGGGTGGGAAGTCCCCACCAGGACATGCTAGGGATGCTGCGAAGACCACCAAGCAGTTGTTGAAAGCCACGTGCTCCCCAGAACTGTTAAATAAGCTAATGGCCTGAATGAGAGCTCACGCGAGGCGCTAACTAACACCCTTGATGCGGTATAATCAGGGGGAATGGAAGGAGCTCACTCCCCCACGATACTTCACAGATGGTGAAGTTTGCATTGGCTACATAGGAACGGCAACAGAAATGCGGTCCCCATTAGCTCCTCGATAATGGTTTCAGCTGCATATGCTGGCAGGACACTGATGGGGCTGAAGTGCTAGATCTGGGCAGCTCTATAATTATAGCTAGTTCATGCTGCTCAGGGAATACGGGTGAATTACTGTAATGTAATAATAGGTTATAACAATAGTTGTGGGTGCAATTGCAGCCATCCAAAGCAGGATGGTTCAGAATTACAGCAATTTGCTTCATCTGACTTGCCTTGTGGGGCTGTCTGGACAGGGAACGGGTCATGAAGCTAACATTACACAAAGGAGAGATGGCCTTAAGCACATGATTAAGCAGAAGCACTGTGATCGGCTTCCAGCCCACCGGCTGGGGAACTCTGGGCTGCAAACTGAGCAGGTCCTGACAGCCAAAGCTCCTCGAGGATAGAGCTGTAAACCTCTGGGGCATTTGCTCTGAAGGCTCTAGACACTGCATCTTAACACAGCATCCCCGTACAAGAGTCACGGCACGGTGCGCCCCACCGAATGGCCGCAATGTGCCAGCTGCTAGGAGCAGTCAGGATGTCTCCCAGCGCTGTCCTAAACTCCCTTAGAAGAGCAGGGCCCAGCCTGCAAAATTGGTAAAGCACCCTTTGACCCCTGGGTTCCCTACCAACCCTACAGCTCTAAAGGGACCGGAGAGGCGGAAGGATGCTCAGACTGCCCCGCCGCAGGGGTCCAGTGCTGGGGCAATGCCCCAAGCTTGCCCTCTGCCAGGGGGGATAGGTGTAACATTCACTTACCCAGGGCTAAAACCATGAGCACTGCTGGGACACCGAAAGCCAAGGCAAAACAGTCTCCTCCGAAACATTTCACGTCCCCTACAAGCAGAGACAAGAAAAGCATCTTACTTCAACGTGCTGAATTCAGACTTTACTGCCCAGCCCTCGACTGCTGCCAAATCCCTCCCTTCCCCTAGCTTTAAACACCTTGAAGGGGACTCTTGACAATGTGCATTGAACCCACTTGAAAGCAAGTGCCCCACTGCTCTGCTGATGGTGACAATTTGGAATCAAGGCAGGTCCGGCTGCCCCGCGCGGCTACAGTCCCTGTTTATAAGGTCCAGTAAGACCCAATGCAAGGAACCAGTAAGACCCAATAGTAAGGTCCAGTAAGACCCAACAGTAAGGTCCAATAAGACCCAATGCAAGGAACATGGACGCTGCAAGGCAGAGGCATAGCATAAAAAAAATGTGCCTAGGGCAGCCGTCTCAGCCTTCCCCTCCTGCCTTCTTGATTTCAGGCATGGGAACAACAGCAAGAGCTGGGCAGTCTCAAGGAGTGCAAGGCATTCTGGGAATCACAGTTCTCTAGACTGGCAGCGGAGTTTGCCGCTGCCCAGGGAAAAGTTTCATCCCACTTTTTTGCCACAGAAGTGGATGTGCAAAGAGCAAAAGAAATGGTGGCAAAAATGGGGCTCGGTTCTCCCCCCACCAGCAGCAAACTCCACCGCTGCCCCACAAAACTGTGATTCCCAGGATGCCTTGTGCTCTGTGACACACATTGCCTGCATCCCCCACCCTCTCCTACTGAGGCCCCTTCCCTTAGGTAGTGCCCATAGCATGCGCCCCACTTGCCCGCAGCGTTAGGATGTTACACTACTACTGCAAGGGGAAGAGGAGTGGCTCCCCAGCTGTGGTCCTTAGACCCCTGGAGGGCCAGGGGGCCATAGGCAGTTGTTTGCAGCTGTTCCATGGCTCACACCACCCTTTACCCCTTTCCAGTTCATATCAGAAAGAAACTGTGGCCTGGGGCACATCCAGAGGGAGTGCAGCAATGTGATTGCACCCTCTGGCTATGTACCAAATGCACATGTTAGCTCTGAGCACCAGCATGTCAGCACAGCTCCTGCTGGAAGCTTCACATGCACTGGGCGTGTCTACACATTCATTAATGTGCTGTAGTTACTGCGCATTAAGTTTAGTACTCGGATAACAAAGTACTAAAACAATGCGCAGTAACACACGCTACTGTGCAGTAGTGGTGGCGCACGGGTTTTTAGTGACGCTTACTGCACAGTATCCTAATACTATTGCACAGTAGCGTGTTAACATGGTTTTTGCCCGGCACACTACTGTGCAATATTATTAGGCTACTGCCCAGTTAGCGTCTCGTGTAGACGCGCCTACTGTGAACTCTATGAGCGAGGGGGCCCTGCTTTCACAAAGCTCTGGAGTCCAGTCGGTGAGCACTGCTGCTGTTTGCTCTTCCCCTCCCTCCTCAACCTCCTTCCTCCCAAATTCAACAGCAGGGGAAAAGAGAGGAGGAGCAGCTGGCAGCAGCCCACAGCAGGTCGGGAACCCCGGGGCTGAGCATCACTGCCGCTCGTCCCCTCCTTTCCCCTGCTGCTGAATTCAGGGGTGGGAGGAAGGAGAGAAAGAGAGAAAAGCAGCATGCTTTGTTGCTGTTTAAACATGGTAGACCCCATGCCGACCATCTGATGGGCTCAGAGAGCTCACAGCATATGCTCTGACCTGCTGGTGAGCTCTGATTGCTCGCTGGCATCTCAGATCATATCAAAGGGCTGTGGCCAAACACTCTTCAGAGGTGAAGCACATGCACGGTGAGCTCTCCTCGCACCCAAAGGGGGTTAGGCCACTACCTTGTCATCATGATCCGGGATCTGCCCCCAACTCTGACTGTTTCCAATTTAGCTTAATAGGCCTGGGTAATCACTGCAGCTTGACTGGCTCATAACTCAAGAGCCAGAATCTGTTATCACTTCCACCACTGTGAGCAGGAGCAGCAACATTACACCCAGGCAAGTGAGATCCTAAGATTAGACCCTGGCGCTTCAGCTTCACGCTCCGTGTCCTCCTAACCCCGGTGGAGCTTGTCTGCTCCAAGTCCCAGCGATCACCTGGAACTGAGCTGGGTTGCCAACACGGGGTCTGGAGAAACTCAAGGCGTAGTTCATTGTGGGAACATTGAGCACTAGCGCACTATGGATCAGTCCAGCTTCCTCCCTATGGGAACCTAGAAACCAATCCCAGACAGGGACTCTATGGCGAGGTCTGCATACTGGTGGTTAGAAATTACAGCATTCATGCACTACACGGTAGCAAATAAATATGATTTTAAAAAAAGCTTACATAGCTAAAGCACTGCCGAAAAACAGCCAGTGAAACCTTCAGTCATTACTGTGTATTCTCTACATGCAAAGCCCTGGTCAGGATTGTGGTGTAGCATGCTTCTATAATTTATTTTCCCACTTTGCAAAGAATTAGCTGAAATCCAATAAACCGGGCAGTGAAACATGGCGTGCACGTTGAGCTGTGACACACAGCACAAGCAGACACCATTGGATTTCTCCAACTAAAACAACAAAAAAGCAAGCTTCATACGCAGCTGCCAAGTTTCTGAGGAATTGCTTTCCTCCCTCTTCCAGAAAGGGCTGAAAAGAGCTTAAAAATCCCAGGCTCCCTTCTTACACTCAGCCCATCCCTGTGGTTACTGGCTCGGGGTTGCACTGTGTTTACATTGATTTCTACATTTGAAGGACACTGGTTAAATTTGGCAGCTGCCATTTCCCGCGAAAATGTTGACAAACATAAGAGAGAGAGAGAAATGTGGGCTGCCTTTGGCTGTGCTTTGGCATAAATATAGTAGACAAACATACACTCCCCTCAGCCTCCCAGGACACAGGATATCAAAATAGTCACTTGGAAAAAATAAAACTTTCTGGAGGACGTTAGAAGAAAACAACTGCTTTGGAATTTGCAAGGCCATGGCCCCCATCACCTGCCTGCTCCTTCGCAATACAGCTCTTCTCTGTCCGCAAGTCTGGGTATTTGTAGCGTGCCAACCACCTTGGTGGCTAGGCATGGCCGTACAAGAAAACAAGAACAGCTAGACGCAGGGTTCAGTTTAGCAAACAGGATGTGAAACGGGCCATAAGTGGGACATAGGGCATGTGCTCATCCTCCAAACAAGTCACTCTAGGCTGCAGCCAACCCATTCAGGCTGTGTGGGGTACCTACCTACCCCTCCAAGTCAGGCAGGCCCTGTGTGCGGGTGGGGGTGTAGCAGGACCACACCATGATGGATTTATGATGATGTGAAGGGAGGCTTCCTCAGGGTCAGCCTTACCCACTTTGGCTGGGGGGTACCTCTTGTACCCAGCTGGCCCCAGTTTTGCCCCTCAGGCACTCTGTTATGGCTCTCCGGCCCCATCAGTGCCTCAGATCACCAGTTGCTTATGGGCTATATTTGCAGCCTCCTTCCTCCCTTGTAACCATGCCCATGCCTTGCAGATGTTACTCAATGTTCATTTGGAGAGGACCCTATAGCCCTAATGCAGCTTTTGGCTCTCAGGCTCTGAACCTTTGTCAGGGTCATAGCCTTCCCAGCCCTGGGCCTTTTATTCTGGCTGTGTCCCTCAGCCCAGGTCCGCTGTCCTGGAGCTTGGCTCCTTGGCCCCAGCCCTGTCTTGCACCTGGAGCCATGACCCCTGTCTTGTGCACCCTGGGCCCCTAGCCCCTGTCTCGTGTGCTCTGGTTCAGCCCTCCGCCCTTGGGGTCCCTGACCCTGTAGCCTTGGCAGACTTGCCCACTATATCCACCTCAGCCCTCTGGGTCTCTGCCCCAGGCTGGACTACCTGCTATTCTAGCACTTAGCCCTCTGGGTCCCCGATGCCAATGCCAGGCTGCTTTTGCTCCCTGTGGTTGCAGCCCTCCAAGCTTTGGCCTAACTCATTCAGCCCTTAGCCCTCTGGGTCCCTGATCCCAGACTGGACTGCCTTTTGCAGTGTCCCACCAGGCACCCTGACATGGTCTCCACTCCTCCCCCATAGTCACAACCCAGCCCTCTGGCTCTATCAAGCTCAAAACATAACATCAATGCAAGAAAACCACTACCCAAACTCAAAGTCTTCCCCATGAAGGGTGAATGTTGACCACAAGCCATAATTCCCTTGGACCACCCCCCTCATTTCCAGCTCCCTTGGGCGCCCACCTGCCAGTCTCCAGCAGCCCTTTTCCCCTGGGAGTTCCTCTCCCCACAGCATGCAGGGCCAGACTGCCTGCTTGGGCTTAGGCCGGGGCGGGCAATTATTTCAGGTGGAAGGTCGCTTACCGAATTTTGGCAAGCTGTCGAGGGCCACATTTCCCTCTCCGGCACAGGGAAGCAGGAACAGCCACATGATCCTAGGCCAGAAGCCTCCGCTAGGCAGGGGATTCTGGTTGGTGGGGGCCTTGCTGCTGGGTGGGCCTTGCTGCTGTGTCCTGCCGCCGGCTTCCCCTGGGTGCTACTGCCCCTGGCTCCTGTCATCTTTGACAGACAGCCAGGAGCAAATAAATATTAATTCTCTAAATTTTTTAGGGGCCCTGCAGGCCAGATAGAATGGCCTGGTGGGCCAGATCTGGCCCCAGGGCTGTATTTTGCCCACCCCTGACTTAGGCACTGGACTTGCATGCCCAAAGCCCCAGCCCCTCCTGTTCTGTGGCTCCCTAGCCCCAAACAGATGGTTTCATTTGGGATTGATGGCCAGCCTACCCTCTTCTGCTGCATCAGCCAGCTGCTTTTCCCTCTTCAAATGACAGGGGCCTTGGGCCCTGTTACAGGGGGGTCACACTGCAGAAGCTCTAGGCAGTACTGTTAAAGTAGCTCCAGCCTTAAAGGCTACAACAAATAGGAGAAAGTCAGTTGTTTCTGATGGGTTACCTACGGGCTGCAGAACAGAGAGGAGTCTTTCATTTTCAGGAAGCTGGACGAAGCCACCTGATGGATCTCTTTTCCATCTCTAGTGACTCGGTCTGGCTTTAAAGCAAATAAATACAGCCTGTAGGATGGTCCGTCTGACTCGTCTGCTAGTTTCCATAAATCTGTTATGCTGCTGTGGTGGGATTAACAAGGCATAAATGCCACACACCGGCCACTCAGGAGATAATGTAATTTCTGTCATTCAGTTGTCATAAAAACCTAACTACCCATGGTAGCGCAGTCACAATGCAACTAATTTATTGGTGCATGCTACATCAAAACTGACCTCTTAATACGGGAGTAACAAACGTGGAGATCAAACTTCCAGCATTAATAGATAGATAGAAGACTGAAAAAAACTTGCTCCTCTCCGAGGCCTAAAACAAGACAAGACAGCATCAGTGTCACGGATCCAGCCTGATGTGCAAGCTGAGCGTTATCAATCCTGTTGGTAGGGAGGCTGAGGAGTAAATAGTGAGACGTGGTGCATAAAACATAAGCTGGCGTTAAGCAAGCAAGTGCAGGCTCCGGTGATGGCAAGTGCTGGCGCCAAGCAGTTCACATCACAAGAAAGTACTCCGGGCTTTCTTGGCATTTGGGAGGAAAAGACACTGTCAAAGGTGCATATGTGGGGGTGGGGGGCAGCATTTATGCATTCAGGGCAAGCAGCACAATTCAAATCCACTGTCACCTAATTCAATCCATTTTGCCAGCACCTGACAAGCTCATCATTTGTTCCCACAGGCTGGCTTTCCTCCCACCCCTTCCTAAATAGAAACAGAAAAAAGAAACCTATGCATTTTGAGGAGCTTATAATGACAGCACGGATGAGTCAGCGAGCGGAAATGAGAGAGGCTGGCCTGATGGACAGTCATAGAGAGGAAGCAAAGCATTACCAGACTGAGCCCCGTGGCCATCTAAAGCCAGCCCCAAACAAACAGGACCCATTCTGCAAATTAAGTCCAGCGGGGCAAACAGCACAGGCCCAGTGAAAACGCTTTGGGGAAGAGAGGGGCTGGGGACGGGTTCCTGGATGTGGGGCAATGTTGCAATAGAGAGTAGTTAAAAAAGACAATAAAAAAGGGCTCTGCCATTCTCCTTTCCAGACAGTGTGGGTGACACAGCTTCCTCTGTACAAAGTCATGCCTGGGTAGTTGTAAAGAACTGATTATCTCTATGTGGATATTGTCTGCCTAGCAAGGGGAATACGGGATCAAACTAAGGGTAACATGGCAGAGTTTCACTTGGCTCGTCAAAGCTAATATTTTACTTTATAAGGAATATTCCTAGCTATTACCTTTGGGCACCTTTTCTCTTCCTAGTCAGACCAATAGGCTCTACAAGGTATAGAAGGAAATAGATTGCATCAATAAAAAGTTCAATGGATTTGTGATGCAAGCACAAGACTGGGACTTACAAGATCTGGGATCAACTCCTGGCTCTAGCAGTCTCCCTCGGTGTGGCCTTGGTCTTGGGGCTTGATTCTCCACTTGTGCACCAAATCCTTGACAGGGTTGTAGCCCCTTGAGTCTCAGCTACTTGGCCCCAGTGAAAATTAAATGCAAAGCTTTTACTTGGCCCCTTGGAGACCTTCTGCCAGCGGGGAATGGGCTGCAGTGGTGCATTTGCTGAGCTCTCTCTTTTCCTGACACTCCTGCTCCCTGAGATGTTGACACACAGAAGAGTGCAGGGTGGGAATAGGTGCCCACACAACGGTTTCACCTGGTTTGTGTGTCAGATGTCTGGGGACGTGTCTGCACCACCCCCTCCCTCACGTGCTGTGCCCCCTCCCTCTCTGCACGTGCCAAATCCTGGACATGAGGCAACGCGGCTGCCTTGAAACGGCACTGACCATGCGCCAATAAACGTTGCAGAGAACAAGACTCGTGAGCAGTCCTGGGCATGTGCTCAGAGCCATTTGAAGGTAGTTTCATTGCCTCATTTTTCAGGTGTTTTCTCTCTATGGAAGGAAGTTTACACCGGTTGCATCAACATTTTCTGAGGTCAATGCCAAAGGGCTTGTCCATATTACCTGTAGTTCCACTTACAGGGAAATCCTACTCCCTGGCATGGGGAAAAGGCTTCTTGTAACACCTAGGTTGGCATGGGGGAGGATTGGGGGGGCGACCTAGAGGACTTCTTTAGGCACTCTTGCAAAGCGGGTACTTGGGGGGTATACAGTGTGGGGCACAGGTGAGCCGTGCAAGTGCTGCTCCACGGGGTCAACAGCCCTTGACATCCATGGAGGAATCATAGATGCTGCTGCAGGTTGCGTGGAGAAAGGTTGTGTCCTTCTGGGCCCCTGCCGAGAAACAGCAAAGAGCCTGGCTGCTTGGGCTGTGCACCGATGCCTTGTGTTCGGCTCTTGCAGGAGGCTCAAGCGCAGCCAGGCCCAGATGAACTAGTCTGCACATTGCTGGTAAATGGTTTATCTAGAATTAAAACCTGATGAACCTTCATCCAGGTAATTATTACCTGCTTCCTTTGTTTCTGGTTAATAGCAAACAGCACTTGGACTTATTGCACCAGTATCTCAATTTCCATCTCTCCTTGCCTATTTTTGGCCTTTGTTACTCGAGTTCACCAATAAAGTTATATTTTCTTTACTCATCCTTCCCTGGAGATGGATAATTTACATTTATAAGGGGACGTGATGGGAGTAACTGGCTTGGCAGCGATCCACCTCTGATAATGGGCTAACGTGATACAGATAGGGTGGAAGGTTGCTTCTTTAACCTCTTCTCTTCTATCAAGGCTCTCCTGCCACATTTCTAACCCTTGGCGTTTGAGTGTCTCTGCACTTCTAATGGTTTTGCAGGCCTTTGATGTCGTACCCAGCTCAGCCAAGGGCCGGTTTGGATGGGGGAGTTTTGGTCGAGACCCTGTCTTTCACTTCCTAAGATGCAAAGGGCAGTGCATAAGGAACAGCCAGAGATACCGTCACTTAAACCCTACCCGTTTTGAACAAAGGATTCCCCAGTGAATAGAGCACTGCTGCACCGGCACCACGGATATAGCATGGAAATGAAGATGCAAATCCTCCAAAAAAATGAGCGAAGAGCAAATTAAACAACCACGAATCCCGCTTGCCTTATCCTGGGCTGGTTTCTGGTTGAGAACGTCTAATAAAATTACCACTGTGCTTTAAGATCCTGGGATCCTCGTGAAGCGGGTGGGGAGGTAACCGTCTTTTTAAGAGCAATGGGGGAAATCACATAAGGGAAAACGAACACGACGACTCAGAATCAGAGATCTGGAAGGGATCTTCAGGGTGATCTAGTGCAACCCCCTGCACGGATGTAGGATTTGCAGTTCCTAAACCATCCCGAACTGATGCCTCTCCATCCTCCAGAGAACTTCCCAGGCAGGAGATTTCACAGTTTCTCTCTGCAATTTGTCCTTTGTCCTAGTATCCTTAAAGGAAAGAGGTTGATTCCTGAGATTTCGATTAACAATTTGTATTTTAAACATGCTGCTTTTTGCCCTGCCTGATGCAACGAAAGGAGAGGAAATTTTCTGCCGCGTCCTTATTGTAGCCTTTCAAATTTTTGAAGCCTCTCCCTCCCCCTTCATCTCCTTTTCTCCAGACTAAACACGATTAAGAAAAAAGAATATATTGGTAAAATAAAAAAAAGGGATTGTGATTAGTAAAGAATCGGTGTCTCCTTATTTCACACATTTACAGATTTCAGTGACAGCGGGGAAAAATTATCCGTGTGGCAGAAGGACAAAAATAATGACTTGGGAACTTGTGAATGACTCTCGCTAGAAAAAGAATTTCATCTCTTCTTTCTTAATCTTTGCAGCAGCCAGTCATTAATTCCCTGATTTGGATTACCTAATTTTGAGAAAAGGTACCATACATGATAATCCCGATCTCCCTAGCAACAGGAAAATAACAGAACAAAGAGAAAGAGCTATGTCGCACCATACAAAGCATGGCGCATTGTCTGAAAGCAGCTTTGGCCTTTAATTAATATGCACAAAAGCGTTTGCATTTCCACAAAATATTGTAAATATGATTTTGTTCAGCCATATTTAGCTTGGGCCACTAATCCTGTGGATGAAAATGCTTGGAAATGTCTTATAGATAAATCCATTTGTTTCCACTATCTGACCCACATCTGAATCTCTGGTCCCCAAGTACTAAGGACAATTATATTTCTAAAGTGATTTGAAAATCAAGTGTTTCATAATTGGAATGAAATTTTAGCTTGGCCTAAGCACCTGCCACTATATTGGCTTCAGAGGAGCTGTGTCCACCTTCCTGAGAAATGAATTTGTCTCCAGCTAAGAATTTTGCAAATGTTTCCAGGAGATAAAGAGAAAAATATTACTTATTACAGTTATGAATACCTGGAAATACGCTGGGGCATATCATTGAACAATGAATTTGTAAGTACCTATAGGATAACAATGGGATAAAAAACTGCCGATGTGGATTTACCAAGGACAAGCCATGCTTAACCAGCCTGGTACCTTTTATCTGGTTTGAGCAGGGGGGCAGATTAGATAATCTCTTTCTGCCCCTTCCAGCCCTACTATCCTATGAGTCTACGAACACACGATCTCTGACTGCATTGCCCCCGTAGCGTCTCCGTGGGGAACTCCCCAGATAGTTTTACGTGCGAATGAGTATTACACCCCTCTTGTACAGAAGGACAAACAAAATCAGTCGTCCTAAGAGTTTAGCTGAAGGTTATGGAACGAGTCCATATTTCTGGGTGGAAGCCTGCCTCTTAATTTCATGGACAATTTTGCAATTTCAAAATGTTCCCAGTTCCAAAACCAATTGCGGGGTGGGAAAAAAAGAAGACCCTAGAAGTTTCCTGCAAAATAAAATTCCAACAAGAAAATGGTTTGGAGTGGACTGAACTAATCCGTGACAACAAAATCAATACTTTTTATCCCTGTATCGACTTTAGTCAATTTTCAACTTTAGCCGAAGTCGATATTGTAGAACATAACTATTTCCAAAATGGAAAGGCAAAGTCATTTCTCAATAGACACTAGAAATGTTCCATTATGAACAGGCCGAAACCAACCCCTGTTCTGTCTTTAGCAAAATGAGTTTCTTTATAACTTTTTCTTTCTGAGTTAATTTCTGTAGAAATCAATACCCGGGTGACTATAGCTGAATCTCCAGTAATTGATGCAAATGTTTATCGTGGAAGTCGAGCCGGGAGACCTGAGGGTGGGAATGCGAGGTAATCAATATTTTCTCTGCGATTCAACTGTATGCGTAAGCTTGGAATAATACCACTTATATACTTGACTAGGGTGCCATGATTCATTAGTTGAGTCTATAACACATTTTAAAGAAAATGGTTACATAGTATCAACCTGTAATTAGAAACTAATTGAAAGATTATAGATAAATACCATTAAATTATCAACGCTAAAAGTAGCTCTTCTGGGTATAATGCTGCAATACTGGACATGCTGCTTCTGGGCTCTACTTAGATAGTAACAAATGCTCAAAGACTTGGATTCTTAATTACTCCATCGTTGTTAACCACAAAGGGCACGTCTCAGACATTTACACTTTGCTGGCATGAAATACAAGACAGCTCCTATCTGGAAAAATGTACATCCTACTGTTATTTAAACTCAAGAGCTAGACATATGCTGAATCTCCATTGCTCTTTTTACCCTAATCATCTTTTCCCACCGCCTTGCTTGCAAAACAAAACAAAAAAAAGGTTTTCTGACAATTCCATCAAAAAAGAAGGGTTCTTTGGTTTAAAATATTCTTCAAGAGTTTGTGTTTTCAGCATTCAATCGCCGAAAGCTGATTTTTGTTAAAACAGAAATCGGGTACACTCCATCAAAAGCAGATATTTCAGAGATTTGTTTTTTTCGTTTTAATCAAAAAAGGTGGGTTTTTTTGGTCAAAACTATTTTGAATGAAAAATTCCAGCTAGGTCTAGCCGAATGTCTTCCTACTTGAGACGTAGCATTTTATAAACTGCTCTCTTTAGCTAGCTCACAAAACTACGTGCTAGAAACCATCAGGAATCTTTCATCTATATGTTTTTCCATAAAAAAATTAATTTCCCCCAAACTGTGATTTTTCAGTGAGAAAAAGTGTTAGTTCTACCAATATTTATTGATTGGGGAATTTTCTTTGGGAAAGAACGTAATGACTTGTTTTGTTCTTGGTAGGTTCAACACTGATCTCAGCACTTCATTTCAGGACAAAGTCCCATGAATCTGTATCTACTTGAGCTGCTGGGTGGCTTCATGCTGCTCCCTGTTATGGGCTGTGTTCCCTGGCTGGGTGGTATTCTCCTTCCGGCTAGGCCACTATGGTGCATCATGGGGGTTGCATGACTGCAGTGCATCATGGGAGATGTAGTCTCGCAGGAAGCCAGCCCATAGGTAGGATCAGAGATCCAAAACACCTGAACTCTCATAAGGGCCTGCAGACCATCAGGCAGCTGCAGTGCAGCATTGGGCCAAGCCAAGGGGAGACATTCTTTCTGTTTCCAAATAAAGATGCATTTTACAGTGACAGTCTGAAGTCAGGCAGAAAGCAGGGCGTGGGGGCACCTCTTAGATGGTACCAGTTAACTTCTACAGAGCCATCCTGCCCTATCTTCTGCCTGCTTCCAAATAGAAATTCTTCATTTGTTTTCTATTCTGTGAAAACCATCCTGATTTGGAAGCAAAATGAATGTCAAAACACTGGACTTTCCCCCGGTGCAAAATTCCAGTCCCCGGTTCTCTTTAATAAAGAGGGCAGCAACCATCACTGCTTGGTTGAGAACATCTAAGGAACCCTTAGGAGCAGCCGGTAGGATTTTCTCTTTCACTTGGTGCCCCAAACCCTTGTATTAGGCGTCTGTGTATTCTGCAGATTGCTGCTGTGTGAACCTCAGAGGAAGCTGCCTTGTCAGTATAAATGGAGTGGTTTTGGGCATGACTTTTTTACCTGGTCTCAGGGCTTTGATGAAGTGCAATTAAATAATGCTACAAAGTGTGTTGGAATTTCAGGTGCAATTGTGATTTATCATCTCTGTCCTAATATCATCTCTCTCTCCTGAGTTATCGGCACTGTCCCCAATCTTTGCCCATGTCATCTTCCTTGATCATAGTCTAAATAACCATCCAAGGTGGCCCTTTTTTTTCCAGCATATCCTACCACCTTGGCTTCGGGTTATAAAGTTCACTTAACATCTTGTGCAAAGCCCAAATGTTTTGATTGCGTTTGGGTCACCCCCACCCCTTCTTAAAGTACCATAGCAGCAAACAGCATAGTTTAGAAAATAAATGAAAACGTACATGTTCTTCTTCAAACTGGTCCCCGCCAAATGCCGCTACACAGGGCTTGATACCTCCTGTTCCAAAAGCAATCAAAGACAGGCCAACCATGGACAGGGCTCTGCAAACAGGGAAGAACATTTCAGCATCCTTTGTAGAGTAATGTTCTGGTTACAGCTCACAGTAGATTCCTTTGGGGTCACTTTCCAGTTTGCCCAAAGGTTGAGACTGAAGAGCAAGTTGAAGTGCTCTGGAAGTAGGAACAAGAACAAGTAGGAGTAGTTCCCCAGAAATGCCAGGCCAGTTGCAACCCCAGTGAAAGGCGGGTAGGGGCACCTTATAACCCCAGCTCTCACAATGTAGTGGGAAGTAGAGCAGGCAATGGAGCCTAGTGAGAAGCACCTGAATCCATGGGGTGTAAGACCCCGAGGCCCCAGCATAGGGGCAGAGTGTTGGCCTCAGTGAGGGGGCCATGGGTGCAAAGTAAGGTTGCAAAGGGCGACCTGAAGGGCTGCACAAGAGTTGTTTAGTGAGAGAGCCCAATGGTAGTAGTAAATCATTGCTCCAGTGAGAGGGTGGAGGAGTAGCCCCAGGAAGGGGGCAAGGAGAGTTGGGCCAAAGACAGAGCTTAGCGTCAGTGAGAGTGTGTGCAGTGCACAGCTGAGGATACCTGGGCAAAGCCTGAGGGCGACCAGTAGGGGCCTGGGAAGTCATAGTGGGTAGTTCAGAGCATAGTGTGGTGGCACAGTGTGACGATGAGCTCCAGGGGGGAGTGATTTTCCTGAGTGAGACCCTGGAGCACAGGTCACGGTGTGAAGCACTGTGCAATATGGATGCCATCTGAGAGGCATGCGACACAGTATAGGGAAGGTTGGAGCCATGTGTAAACCCCTTAGCCTCGGGGCATCAAATGGGCAGCCTCCTGCTTACTACACCAGGTTTATCCCAACAAGTCGTGGCAGGAAAGATAGGGCAGGCTGCCCGTAGACAGAGGGGTGGGCGGTATGATGACCGGTCATGAGCAGGCTCCTTTTGTCACACTGTCCATCAATCAAATCATTAGCCAAACCAGGTTTTGCAATTCTGGATACGTTCCATTATCTTTGCCATTTTCCTGCATGTCTGTGCACCAACCAGGCATGAAGACAGAAGGTTAGGGACTCGTGGGACAGCCTATTTCTGGCACAGACAGAAGCATGCAAAAGAGTATGCAAAGAGGGAATCTTTTCCTGTAGGTTTTTCCAGTTTAGGTTTGCAGACACAGAAGGTTTGAAAAGGTTTTGGATCAGCATCACTTTAGGGCACAGCCTGCTCCCTGACTCCTAATCTCACAAGATCTACTCATGACCAACTAGAACCATGCTGGTGCCGGTGCACAAGCTCTTTCCAACTGGCATCAGATCACATGGGGTTGAAAGCACCCAGAGAACCTGGGAAATTGTCTGGCAAGTCTGTTTGACATGTTTCTCTGCGTGGTACCCAGCCAGGAAAAAATACCAGCAGGCTACAGATGTTCAGTGAAACCAGTCGTGGAACTGCAGTGGGAAAGATGAAGGGAGATCTGGAGGTAAAGAGCAGAGATGTCCTAGAGAAGAAGCACGTCCATTCTGGTCCTCCTGGGTCTGTTTGGAGAATGTGCTCCAAGTTAGTGATTTCCTGGCTTCCTGACAGATGCACCCAGCTCTCTGTCCTCTCCCCACGCTTCACCCAAGTTCACCTGCCTACATTTTTCCTAGCAGGTCTCCAGACTGGCTCTGATCTCCAGCAAATGGCTCCATATTCATTTAATAATGCTACATGAATTCCCAATGCATGGGAAGCAAACACAACCTTGGACACAGGCAATGCTGATGGTCTGACAGGCAAGATGCCATAACCAGGTATCATGACAACACGGTCTCAGGGTTTACTTACACATGAAGAACCTGGTCCCCGACAACTGGTATCGCACCGACTGACTTGATCACATGGCCAATCACATAAACAATGGACAGGTAGATGATTGTCCTGTGAAGAGAGAAAATGGTAGCAGATGAATACTCTTGGGTGATGTATGATCTAAAAACTGAAGAGGACCCTGCATTTCCTATCACGGTTTGCCTGGCATGTGCACTTGGAACTGGATAATCCCTGCCTCTGGCATCTCCTGAAGATGTATCTCCACTGGGTCAACTCCACAAATGCTGTAGGGAGGAGACAGGCAAACTGGTTCAGGTGGAGGCGTAAAGGGCCAAAGGCTGCTTTGCAAAAACAATTATTACTAGGAAGGATTAGCTAACCGCCTTCCAGGTTAATATGCAATTTAAGGTGAGTACAAACCAGGTCATATTTAATTTCAAAATCACCTCCTTTTTCGACTGTCATTCCAACCTGCCAGCCAAATCAATGCTCGCTTGGGAGGGTGTATGTGTATAGCCTGTATGAGTACATCCTCCCAAGGGGGAAAGAGGTTCTCTGCTTCAGGCAGATATTTTAGGGGCATCACTGACACTTGCAGTGGTTAGAACAACAGTGAGGGTGGCAGAAGCCCTATGGCATCCTGGGATGCCAGTGTGGGTGGCAGATGCCATGTGGCATCCTGGGATCTAGGAGACACAGCAGAAGTTTGGGAATCAGAGCAGTCTTGAAGAGTTCAAATCCTGCTGACGCTGCTAATTTACAGCAATACAGGGATGATCCTACCAGATCAGACCAATAACCCAACCAGGCCACCCCAGGAAAAAATCTCTAAAATTAGCAGCTGTCGGACAGCCTGCCCCCAGGGACCATTTCCTCTTAAATCCTAATATGCAGAGGTCAGTTGTGGATTCATAGCCTTTGGGGCACCATGGCCAAGTCCAGGACACCTGTGTACAACAGAACTCAGCCGTGAGCAACTGATTTACCAACCAAAATCCCCATTATCATTTCATTTGTTAAAAGGGACAAGTTAGAAGGGAAGAATGTGTTGGTGGTCTACTGGGACATGCTAGCAAGAAACTGGACCAAATGGGTTGTGCCCATTGCTCAGGGCATCATGAAACTGGAAATGCACTTTCAATCCTGTTGGGGAATGTGATATTCATGTTATTTTTGCGGAAGAAGCTAGCCTAGTAGACAGCATAAAAACTGGAAAGGAAGATGACTGAGTTCTTATCTCCATCCACCGCCCCCCCAGCCACTGACTGTGGACCAGCCTTGTTAATCTCCGGGTATCAGATACCTCCGAGGGATGTGGGGAGACTTAATTTATTGATATTGATATATCACTTGCTGGTCTCCAACTGGAAAGGAAGCACGGATTATTACACACCACCCTTCACCCACTCCTCTCTCTCAGATTTATCCCAGGCCTTTCCCCAGGGTCTCCACACAGTTTGAGGCTCAAGGAATATATTTGTATGCTGAGTCACATCACTGAGAAATAAACTGCTGCAACATGGTGTCATCACAGCACACAAATCATGGGCTCCATTTGTCTGCATCTTGATACGTCCCTTTTACGGCAGTTCTGGAAATTATGAGCCTCGGCAAACCTGGCAACTGTTTGCTCATTAATGGAAATCAAAGCGCACGGTTTTTAATATTGCAGCTTCCAGGGACACATCCTTCAGCCCCATGGCTACAGGTTCGACAAGGAGTAATAGCCTTTACACTCAGTCCATTGGTTGATCAAGTCAGCTGACAGACAAATACAGTTTCCCTGAAAACATATATCTTTATGCATGAATTACTCCTTGAATCATGCAATCACAGGCTGGTAGTGTTGGAGTGATCGTGTAGCCATGACAGCCCAGGAGTTGTATGACAAGCAAGGAATTTTTGGGGTGATATCTTTTACCGGACCGACTGCATGGTTGAGATAAAGTTAGACATGCTTTAAAATGCAAGACATTCTTCATCGGGTACATGGTCATGGGCTAACGCGTGTACACCCAAAGAGGCAGTTAGCCGTATCAGTCTGAAGTCAGGTAGGAGGCAGGGCAGAGTGGCACCTTGTAGACTAAGTCAAAGCGGTGTAAGCTATCTGACATCAATTCCAGAAGCGCACAAAACCCTGCAGCAGAGCACTAACACATGCCGCCGTTGACCTCAACGTAGCTGTTCTTAAACAACAACACCTTAAGAACCAGCCTGAATGCAAAACTGAGGAGCAAGAGATCATCCAGAGACTGGACTATGTTAAGGATGGTCTAAGAAGAGATTACAGAGTCGTATCCCATTGCCTGGGTTCACTTTTACACCCCCTACGTCCCTACGGTTTTACCGCTTTGTTTACCACCTTCGCCTCTCTCAGCAGCGCCCTCTCCCCGCCGCCCCTTCCCTATTCTTCGTATTTAAATTACTGCTTTTTCTGTAGACCCCCGATCACTACAGATCTATTCGTAACATCTCATGAAGTAAGCCTGGCCTTCTATGTGTAACACAGCTAGCTTTTATTTTTGCATTCCTTGACTATTTGGTCAACTTCCAAGTCACCCAGGAAGATACACCCTGACCCAAAAAAAGGTACTTACATTAATCTCAGCCATTTAAGTCTGTCAGGCAACTCCCACTCTTTCTAAGCTGTTTGCTACGTTCCTTTTACGTTCCAGGGTGGGTCAGACCATCAAGCAAGGCTCAGATTTGAGGATCTTAAGGAATTAACTCTGAACCTCCAGATGAGACATTTATGTTCAGAAATGTTCTTCCTTACTTGAATTTTCCCAGCCAGGAGTCAGCTATGATTGCTCCAATGAGGGGGGTGAAGTAACACAGCCCTGAGAAGGCATGGTACATAGAGGTGGACAGGTTCTCATCCCAGTGGAGGAAGTTGAGAAAATACAATGTCAGGACAGCTAGAAAAAAAAGAAAAGAAATGATATGGCTTGTTTAACATGAGGCCAGGGGGGTAAACCAGTAACTAAATCCAAGTGACTAGAAGGATGAACTAAATTATGCGTGTAATAAATGCTGATTAATTTGCTACTGCAAAGGGCAGGCAAATAATGACAAATTATCCAGTAATGACCAATTATCAAAGAGGTGTGGGGAGGGCAGCTATCAGGGCAATGGCAAATTAAACCATAGCGGTGATGTGTCACATAAATGAATTAACCAGAGTTTACTGTATTATCAGGGGTTGATTGGGGGGGGGGGTCTCCTGGTGCAGTTGCACCCACTTTGATTCCTGCTTCAGCGAAACATTAAAACTAATTGCCCAGGAAGGGCAGTGGCATTTCTATTCAGACAGTGCGGAGGGATTCAATGGACTTCAGGGCTCACAGTCATCTCCGTGATTCCTGCTAATCTCTCTCCACTCCACAGGTGTTAAGAACCCATTATCCTTTTTAATAGTCCTGATGTCCCACTATTCAAACTACCCTTTCTTCTGCAAGTTTGCGGTTTGTTAGTCATTCTTGGTAATGTCTTCCTCATTTCACAGCCCCACAGACTGTGTTTAGCTCTAGCTAAAAACTTTAACTCGGATGTGGTAATAACGACTCAGGTGTAGACATGCTTGACAGTGAACCACTGGAGGCATTGTCAAGACACTTAGGATGGTTATATTTTGTTTCATGAAGCTAAATAAGAGAAGTACATTTAACTATAATGACTACTGGACTAATGACACAATATATTTTGACGGTATTTTGCCTAGTGGCATTTTTAAAAACTTTTTATAAAATTTAGCAAATCAATGCACTTTCCAACAGTTATAGTTGTGTTTTGCTTTGATCTTACACTGAATTATAAGCCCCCTAGCACTAAAGCATTTAGTTTTACTTTAACTGGAGAAAAATGTGTGTTATGTTACAGGTGATGATGGGCCACAGCATCTGCACCCCCTTTTCAAAATCCACCTGTGTGTACTACAATGCACTGGGCCTCACAGAAAGCATAGCGAATCGGGAGTTTCCCAACGGGGCCTTTCCTTCCCCCTTCTGTCTTGATAACACGTGTCATTGTACTTCTAGCGAGATCCGTTTCATAGTGTTGACATTGCCTCTACCCTAAAGCACTGTCCTGTATTGCATGAGCTGGGGGACCAAGTCCATTCACCAGATGCAGCCTCAGCCTTAGCTACTCCTTTACTTGGTCCTGCCAAATGGAGGGGCACAAAGACCTTGATTCTGCCAGCATGTACTAGAGCAGGGGTCAGCCACCTATAGCTTGTGGGCCTGATCTGGCCTGAGGATGCGAGGCTTCAGCAGCATTAGCAGCAGGGGGCTTTGGCTGTAGGTGCTCTTCCTATGCCACCATTAGAGCAAGCAGCAGCGGTGGCCAGGTCCTATCACCCATCCATCCTGCCGCCTGCCTCTGACTTGGGGTGGGTCGTTGCAGCCCACAGCTGGAAAAGGTTGCCTCACCCAGTCTTGGAGGGGTGACGATGAAATGCAACCCTAGCTGGTGCACAGCAGTTCAGCATCCAGTGAAGAGATTTATCACAAGCCCATTTTCTTCTTTTGATCTATGGGGCCAGTCCTGCAGGGTTCACACAAAGAGACGCCTGCCCTGGATTCTGCTGAGGTTTGTCTTGTGTAAACACTGTCAGGTGTGGACACTTGTCACCCCAAACGGTCAGGAAGGGTGTTTTTCCCCCTTGGGAGAAGGGCATGGCAGGCTGTGCAGCTGGGGTGGGACAGCCATGTAGGTGGTCTCCAACCCCCCAACCTCCAAGGCGGCAAATAAGCCAAAGTGCATGGTGAGGCTCAAGGTATACCAGGAAAACCCAGGGCTGTAGGGTCTGTGTTCAGAGGGATCCAGCTGCTCTCGGACATGCAACAAAAGAGTATGGAGCAAAAGCTGGAATAGGGACTGCCAAAGCGTGCTGCAGTGGTAGCCGAGAGGAGCTGAGGAGGCAGACTCTGGGTCAGCTCCAACCTCTGCCCTCCCTTGAGGCTGCCTCATGAGCCGGACGGAGGTGAGGGCTCGAAGTTACCCAAAACTCTGCAGCATTTGCTCCCGACCGACCTCAGCTGGTGGAAATCTAGCAAGACTAAAGTCTGCAGCCTCCTGCAGAGACTCCACCGGGTCTGAATCAGGGAAAGAAATCAACCTCCCTTCCCATTTGGAGACCAAATCTAGAGGCAGGCACGTTTGGATCCAGGGTTTCAAATCAGAAGCAGAAGGGTTCGGGTTCGATATTAACCCTTCCACTTTCCTCGTACAGTGTTTGGGAGCCCGGGGGGCTGTTTCCAGCCAGCCTCACCCTACCCTCCAGTTTGGCGCACTCAAATTTGAAGAATTCGCTCCTTTGCCAGGTTGATGTGCCACGCCACTTGTGCCACAGGACAACTACGTGCGCTAGGAAGTGTCTGCGCGTGAAACCAGACAGAGTCGCCTGGGGCCTAAATTCCTTAAGCCCGTATTTTGAAAGGACGTCCATGGAAACAGCGTGAGAACCGGTGTCTGGAGACAACAGACCAGGGTGAACGGGGACGTGTCAAGGGGAAGGCAGCAGGGTCTTCAGAGACGCGCCACATACCTTTCATGCCATAGTAGGAGAAGCGCTCGCAGAACTCGTTCACCACGATGAAGGCGATGCTTAGCGGGTAGTTGGTGCCACAGAGTTTCTGCAGAAAACACACCAGGACACATTGGTTTTGTGGAAGCAGTAGTCCCAGCAACATCTTCCCACCCTACGCCTGCAGCATCGTCAGAGGAGGTCTAGTCTGAAAGCCCAGAGCCCAACGCAGCAGGTGCTGCAGGGACCGGTCTCCAAACTCCAGAGCAGCCTCCTCACCCCGAGGGCCCTGAGCCGTACCCCCGGGTACATCAAGAGGGAGAAAACCAGCATCCCTTCACCTGTATCCTCTGCTCAGGTCATATATTCTGACCTCCCTTCCACGGTCAATTCATTTCTTGCTGCTAAATACTCGCTGCAATCTCCCTCTCTTTCCCCAAATGTGGCTCGACTGCCAGTCTATTCCTAGAGCAGTTGAAGTCAAGACTTAAGCTGCATTTATGAGAAGGGGGGGATCTGGGACACTGTTTCCTGTCTCCAGAGTAAGGCAGCACTGCAGTACCTGTAGCAAATGTGATTTTCTTTTTCTTTAAACAGTGACTGGTGTATCCTGAGCTCCTCAGAGCCTGGGGGCTATCGGTGATTTGCACTTAACTGAGGCTGAGCTTGCAGTCTCATCAGAGTAAAACAGCACCAAGCATTTCATTTTAGCACAAACGAGGCTTTTTGTGACCCTACAGTGGACTTACAGTCTGACTCTACCCCTTAGCATGACTCCTCAGCTTTGCATCCTCTCAACCAGGAAAGTGGCTTTGCAGAATATCTCCTGCCCTGTGGCAGGCAGGTACGACAGGAAAAAACTCACTGGAGGGAGGTGTGCAAGTCTGATGCTTTATGGTTGTGTCTTTCTAATGATTTATGCTTGTGTTTTTCGTTTCTGAAAGGACTCTCTTTGCAGGCCAAGATGGCATGAAACTCACTCTTCCTAATGTTCTTCCACTTCTGAATGCTGGAAATACCGACCTGGATTGTGCAACCCCAAATGCAAATACAGATCCCAAAATAACCATGCTGCTTCTAGTGTATCTTAACCACTTCGGCATTTGAGTATATTTGTGAATTCCCAAAATGACAGACTCTTTTAATCTTGATGCCAGCCTAATATATATATGTGTTGTGTGTGTGTGTATATATATATATGTATGTATGTATGTATGTATGCATATGTGTGTGTGTATATCTTTTAATCTTGATGCCAGCCTAATATACATATATGTGTTATATATATATATATATGTATATATATATATGTATGTGTAATGTATATATATGTATGTGTGTGTATATACATATATATGTGTGTGTGTGTATGCGCACGTGTGCACGTGCACGCACGCACACACACACACACACATATATATTTGGTTGTTCTGGAATGATGCAAGAGTACAGAGAGACAAGGAAGCAAGTGTCCTCAAAAACGGTAGCCAACAATTTGCCTTAATACCATGTAACTGGCCCAAACACAACTATTTTGTTTAAACATCTAATTTATGGGGGAAAGGTTCCAAGCCAAAACACCTTTTTTTTTTTCTTCAAAGGTGCTCGGTTCACACGTCCACCTTGAGTGTTTGTGGTATTTATCATCAACTCCGTATCCGTATCTGTACACAGATTATAAGAAGGACGCTAGTCCATGTGGCTTCTTCCCCATGTGGCTGGTCCCCTTTGCTGACTGAGCCAGGGAAAGCTCCAGACTTTTAATGGTTGCACGAGCACACGCAAAAATGTCACATCTGCCTTTTTCCAGGCAGTTGTTGCTAATCGAGAAAACAAATAACCCCGTTATTTACTCTCTTTGTTGTTTTTTCCCACTTGGTAGCAAATGGCAAGATAGGAATCTTTCTGCCCGTTCCAGGATCCTAGACTTTCACTGGCTTCTACTGCTAAAATGCAGGAGAATTTTAAAAAATTAAAGGTGAGGTCCAGGCCTGCGCACCTCTGCAGCCAGGAGCAGTGACTAGGGAGCACCATCCGCTGCGGTCCAAAGCCTCATCTCTCACATTAGCGATCACTAACGCTATATGTGCACTTTGTGCAGTGCTCGTTTGCAGGGTCATAGAATCGTAGAAAACGAGGGTTGAAGGGACCTCAGGAGGTCACATCTAGTCCAACTCTCTGCTCAAAGCAGGACCAGCCCCAACTACATCATCCCAGCCAAGGCTTTGTCTAGCCGGGTCTTGAAAAGCCTCCAAGGATGGAGATTGCACCACCTCTCTAGGTAAGCTGTTCCACTGTTTCACGCCTTCCTAGTAAGAACATTTTTTTTTCTTAATATCAAACTTAAACTTCCCTTGCTGCAACTTGAGCCCACCTCCTGTCTATAGTGGGGGTCAGATACACAGCTCTGACCTTATCAGATAGCAACACAACAACAATAAGGTGCTTGTCCTCCACCTGGTATTGCAGCCGTGTGCGGGGCCCCTCAGAAATGAGGAAGCAGCAGAGGCTGGAGAAACGAACGGGAAGCAGAAACCGGAGAGTATCCCCAGTGCTAATCCCAGCTGTCGATGCCTGGGGGCAAACCTGTCAAACGCAGGTATCTAACATGAGGCAACTGCGTCTAGAGCCAGATTATACCACCCTCACGTGCAGGCATGCTTTGTGCCACCGCAGTCCCACTGCGATGAGACTCCCCTGGAAGGATGCTTGTACATGAGACAGGGGTCTAGTCCTATTCTATGCCCCCTAAATTGAAACAGTGGGGGCCTGATCCTGTGGCCGGGGGATGAGCTGCCGGCAGGCCAAGCGGCCCCAGTCCTTCTCTCTGTGGTGGCAGCACCGCTCGGGGCCACCCAGGTGGGCTGCTAGCAAGCTGGATGCTGCATGAGCTGGGAGGCAGCACCCAACCCGATCCAACTGTGCTGCCCAGGGAGCAGCGCCCGGTGGGCTCCCAGCGGGTGGGCTTGGGGAACAGTTGGATCTGGCTGGGTGCTGCCTCCAAGTTGGGGCAGCA